GTCAACCTTGAGCCTGGCAAGATTCGAACCTGCAGTAATTGCAGGCAGCTGGTCTTAATAACAGGGTGCTTTAGACCACTGTACTACCAAGGCTCTTCACAGGCTCACTAGGGAGGTGTCATGTAATGACCACCTAGGATAAAGGATTTAGGGGTGGGACATTTACATCCCAATGACTTTCTGTGTACTCACCTAAGGAGCCTATCCAGAATAGAAGGGAAGGGGAATACGAATGGGAATAGAATTCTTTATTGGCCAAGTGTGATTAGACAACAAGGAATTTGTTTCCGGTGCGTAAACTCTCAATGTAGATCAGATTAGATGAGAAATGAAACCACCCTGGAGGTCATATATAAAGTCTCCGTAACCAACTTGCTCAGACTGAAGAAGCTATTTGGATAAGCAGCAAAACATTTTTCACCATATGAGAAGAAATCCAGTTGCCTTGATTCAGCTTCCAGAAAACTCTACCTGGATCACTGAGAATTTTAATTGACATTCTGTTAGAAAAGTAAACTGGTGTATAAACCAAGCTACAATTTGCTTTGTACATGTCTCCCCTCAGTAGATTGTAGCATATTTTGCTGGTATTTTTGCACTGAATTGATTAGCAAATAAAAATATTACAATAAAAATCCTAAGGTTTATACTATTTTAGTGTATTAAAAGTGTATTAAAAATGCAGATATAACATTACTGTTAAAACTTTAACATATTAAAATAAGAGAAAGAAATAATATTAATAAAATTTAAATTTTGGTACTATTTTTGCACTCAAACATTTAATTTTAGATATCTGTTCAACATAACAGGTCATGATATACATGTATTTATTAAGAATTGTTATATTCTTTTTCCTGTGTTTGTAGACAATTTCTTACTTCATTTTCCTTGTGTTTTTTTAATTCATAAGCATACAGCAGATATAATTGGTATGAGATGATTGAACAGGAAGACAAAGAAGAGTGTGAAAAACAGAAAACTATTCTTTGGCATATATTTTCTGCTGTTGCACAATGAGCCTTACAAAGCATGAGTTAAATAATATTGTCTACATTAGCCAGCTTCTTTTAAGGCATTTTATTGTTGTTGTTTTTAAAGGAACAACAACGGAGATCTTTATAAAAAAGAATTTGTTGCATTTCTGTGGCTCAAGCAGGCTAGGAAAGAGTTAAAAGTATTTGCCTTGCCAAACCGATTCACTAGGGGGGAGGGGAATTTAATAGTTAATTTATCCTCAAAAAAAGCAGGCAGTGTAGATGTTTATCTTTTGTCTATCTTTTGTCAGTGAGGTTATGCTCAAGCCAATTGAATGTTGGGTGGAGAGAGCTTGTCACTGAACTTGATAATAGATTCATGCAAATGCTCAGTGCTGCATATTTCAGCCTACAGATGGCCGTACTGTAAATTCAGCCAGCTGTTTCCCATGATTTAGCTGCCATGACAACTGCTCTGCTTTCTAGTGCCTTGTACAATTAGGTATGAAAAAGCTGAAAAGAATTCATAGTTTTAGTATTTCTCTGTTACAAGCACCAAAAGCCTTCCTTCAATCCAGCCAGTATTTATCATTGTTGTGGGATAAAAAATATAAACATCCCCGTTAGGCAAAAAGAATGAAGTGTTAATATACTTACTAAATAGTAAGTGTCATTAGAAAGAGTTGGATAGATTTTTTAAAAATAAAAATCTATACTCTTCAGCCTGGGTCTTCACACTATCCACATATTTTTATTAAGTAGTATTTTTTTTCATAATTCCTTTCTAGAATGAAATTCAGATAGCTTTCATGGGGTAAGATAAAACATTGCTCTAACCATCAGATATGTTTACTGTCTTTAGAAAGCATTGGGGAAAAGTTGTTTTTCTTCATTTTTAAGAAAGTTGTTTTATCTTTCACAGAGCAATTGTTGCTGACTGTAGGCTGTGGAAAGAAAGACAACTGTTTAGTCATAACGATCATAGATTAAATTGTCATGGAAATCTATGTTTTGATTGCTGAGATTAAGACCAGTGTGCAGGCTTTTCAAAAGTTGCAGTCAAATAAATAATCTGTCCTAGACTTCTCTCATCATTTAGGGCTGGTCTAGATGGAATAGGAGATAATCTTTTAAATGACAGCAGACCAAAGGAGAATGTGCTTTTCCTTTCTCCTTTATTATAAAAATCCTGAGATTATCCCAACCTTGCTTAAGTATTCAGGTTGCAGCTAAAGCCTTGCTCAGTCGTTAAATTATTTGGAGCACTCCATTTGTAAACTCGCTTTGTAGCATCATTAAAAGTTGTTTGTGTGTAAGCTTTTTTCTTCCATAAAGAGGTGGTAACTGGGAAATCGCCTTTAGGAAGCCAGTATAACTCAACTGATGTTGGACAAGTTCATATTGTGAGTGTTCCAATTTCTGTACTATGAAAACAGGACTAAAAACAGATCAGATTCCCTATTTAGTCAATATTAATGACAGTAAAATTGAATCAATTGCCATTATCAATAGCATTCATACAGAAATTTCCCAGTTAAAATGGCAGAGTTTGTGTCAAGGGAGAAAAGTGTAGCAATAGCAATAGCACTTAGACTTATATACTGCTTCACAGTGCTTTACAGCCCTCTCTAAGCAGTTTACAGAATCAACATATTGCCCCCAACAATCTGGGTCCTCATTTTACCCACCTGGGAAGGATGGAAGGCTGAGTCAACTTTGAGCCTGGTGAGATTCGATCTGCCAAACTGCTGGCAGCTGGTGATCAGCAGAAGTAGCCTGCAGTACTGCACTCTAACCACTGCACCACCGTGGCTCTTATTGTAGCTTCCACTCAGTGGTGCATTGTCCCTGGTTCACACCGGTTTTATAAAACCAGTAGTAAAACCGATGGGAGGCTCCGCCCACTGACCCTGATGTCATCAAAACGCTTCTGCGCATGCGCAGAACAGCGTGCGGCCCCGTTGCAAACCGGTAGTAAAGGTAAGTTGAACCCACCCCTGCTTCCACTTCTTGGTGTAACTTCCCGTAATGAGTCCCAATATCATAAACATGATAAGACATTTCTTATTACCTTACAAAATGTTTATAATTTCAGTTCTGTTCAGTATGTTTCATTGTCTATTTCAGTTAGTCTATTTAGGGATTTATTTTATATGATTTATGTTATATCCTACCTTTTTGCCAGTTATGCCTATAGCAAAATAAATGATTAAAACTATAGTTCTTATTTTAAAAAAATAAAATACACCAAGAAAATATTTTGCATACTTCTCCAGCTCCATAGACAAAGCATGCCTATACATCAAAGGTCTTGTCTACATTGTAAAAATAAATAGAAGCAGTTCTTCTTGCCGGAAGACAAAGCTTATGAGAAGCCATCAAGAATGCCTTCCCATCAGTTTTGCTTCCAGTGAAGGAATAATCAGAGGAAGGAATCCTCTCCTTAATCATAATGCTCAATGCTCTTCAATAAAATCACATGATAAAGTCATAAGTCCAGTTCTGAGTCAAATTATCTCTCACAATGAATCATACATTTCTGGAGGCAGCCTCAAGAAATAGTGTGATGGTTTGATTATCTGTCCTTACCAAATACTTCTCAAGGGCAATTCCACATACAGTTGTACAGTAGTTCATGGACAATTTTAAGAATGCTTCTAAACAAATAATATCAAATGCATGCTAGAAGGCAGCCAAAAATGATAAAAGAAATTGCCAAGAAAGCTAAGCAAATAATAGATTGAACTTTGCTTTAAGTAACATTTATTTTATAGTGCATTCATATCAGGTGATATTATATTACTTTCAGTCATCCTTTAAAAAACATTTTATTCTTAAAGATATCTCTGTATCTGTATTCGGTTATCTGTAGCCTTCATGAATTTGTCTAACACACTTTTAAAAATATACATTCTGGTACCTCTAGCACTGACACTATTTTGTGAAAGTGAAATCTATTGGTTAGACCTGTTTTGTCATTCACTGAACTTTTAAATTTGTTTGAATAATAACTTCCACATAATGAAGTTTAATCATGTCTTCTTCACTTCTATATCAGGGGTGTCAAACTTGATTTCATTGAGGGGCACATCAGGGTTGTGTTTGACCTCAGGGACCCAGGGTGGGGGTGAATGGGGTAGGTGTGGCCAGGGGGGTGTCACTCGTGTCAGGGCACCTGCGGTGGCTAAGTGCTATGGAAGGATTTCCTTCAGATCTTCCCTCAGTCTTATTATAAACTTTCTCTTCCCATCTTCCCTTCTTTTTCTTCGTCTTTGTCTTTCTTTGTCTTTCCTCTTTCCCTTTCTCCTTTCCTGTCCCTTCTTGGCATGCTCAAATGCAAAAGGGGAAACATTTATCCTTTTGTTTTATTTTTACTTTGTTTTGCAACACCTCCACATGCTTCCCACCCCCCATGCATTTGCGGCAGAGACCCAAAGACCAGCTGGCCGGCGGGAGGTGCGCGCGCATGCACGGCAGAGCTGAGCTGGGCTGACAGCTCGCGTGCCCACAGAGAGGGTGCTGCGTGCCACCTCTGGCACGTATGCCATAGGTTCGCCATGACTGTTATATGGCATGACACTGGATTACTTTAAGCACTGCCTTATCCAGAATTAGTCTTCTCTTTCTTTTAGGTCATTCAGAGAGGGCCTTCTTAGGGTGCTGTCCTCTTGAGAAGGGAGGGAGCATGGGTCAGAAGAGTTGGGATCCCAATAGTATGGCATAGAATGGTCTTTCCGTGCCGCTTAATAGAAGGATGTCAACCATTACCGGTTCCTGATAGTTTTTATTGATGTGATTATTTTCATGTTAAGATCACTGTTGAGATTCATGTATAGCATCCAGAGTCATGACATTGGGGTAATAGAAAAATTAAAAAACAGAAATTGTACATATACTCATTGTCTATTTGTGTTTAACTTTCAATGGTACAAGCAACAGTAATTGCCTATCATAAATGCATAATGTGAAGTCTGTTTCTCAGCCTCTGACGGCCCTTGTGACATGTTGCTTTTTATTTTAAAGGTTACCTGTTTGCAAGACTTTTTTGGTGACGATGACGTTTTTATTGCCTGTGGACCTGAAAAATACCGTTATGCTCAAGATGATTTTGTTCTGGACCATAGTGGTAAGCATACACACCTAAAATATGTATGTATGTATGTGTTTTACTGTTTGGCTGTGCACCGCCCTGAGTCCTTCGGGAGTAGGGCGGTATAGAAATCAAATCAAATAAAATAAATAATAAATAAAATGCTTTATAAATTATAAGAATCCATTATTTAACCAATTTGCATGTATTTGTATGTAATAACTCAATGACTGATCATGATATACACAATATATCATCCATTCTTATAGAGCAGGGCTGTCAAACTCACGACTCGTGGGCCGGATGCATCATGCACTGGCCATGCCCATGCCTGGTTTAGCGAAGGGGAAAAAGTTGCGATATGTGGCGCCACCATGATGACACCAGTTTGACACCCCTTTTATAGAGTAACTCATCTGATCACACCTTGGTGGAATATATAAGCATTTTTATTATTTATTTATTAAACTTGTGATATCATCAGACTATTTAAGTCTCTAACCAATTTATAGGAGGTTGGCTGCTGATATAATGTTTAAGGCATTTAATCAGCTTCCGGTTTAGATACTTTGAATCCGAACAGACCCATTTTCTAGTAAATTACTAAGACACACCCCAGCCCCAAATCACATATAAGGGGAGATTTGAAGAATATACTGTTGGAATTTCAGAACATGATGCCTCTGATCTTATTCTCATCAATTCATCTCAGTAAATTATTTTGGTGCCAAACATGATCCTGTAGGCTTTTTGTGCGTAATACAGCAGAATTTTGTTAATATAGCACAAGTGAAACTCTACCTGATTGGAAGAACTCCTGTAGCAATCCACCAAAACATTACATTACAATATTACAACATTACAATATCCCAATCATCTCTATACAGAATTTTTAAAAAACGATTGCACACTGTACTAACAGAAAAACATAAATTTACATTCCAGTCTCTTATTTTACAGCATCACTAAGAAGTCAGTTTGATGAAATGTAGATTTAAAACAACTTGGGGAAAGATTTATTGCAACAGAACTACACACTGAGTTAGCAACTGTGTTTTGTTCATTTGATAATAACTACCGTGTTTCCCTGAAAATAAGACCGAGTCTTATTTTCTTTTGGGCCCCAAAATAAGCACCAGATCTTATTTTGGGGGGATGTCTTACCCACTTACTTTAAGACCACCGCAGCCAGCCTCCCATGCCCTGACACCTGTTTTACCTCTGCCTGATTTGTTTTGCAACCGCTTGAGGCCAGACGCCACATGGTACATTGCGCCAGTGCTGCCGCTCGTGGCAAGAGACCACATGGTACGTGCCATTGCGCGTGAGAGTGGCAGCATCAGTGTGATGCACTATGCGGCTTCCAGTTGTGAGCGGTGGCACCGGCATGACACAGCATGTGGTGTCCTGCCACAAACGGCGGCACTGATGCAATGCGCCACATGGTGTCTGGTGCAAGCGGCTGCTTATATTAGGCACACATGTACAAATCAAGTTAGCGTTTATTTTCGGGATAGGTCTTATTTTTGCAAAAACATGGTATTTAGGAACAGCAATTTAGGAACTTCTACCTTTGTGGGTGGTTTAATTGAAAATATTTCAATTAAAGTGGTTGTGCATTGAAAATATTTATTCTACTGTCCATCTATGTTGTTTGCAGAATGCCGTGTTATGAAATCATCTTATTCTCGTGCATCTGGAACAACAAGGTATTCTGGATCTAAAAGTCCTGGGCTTTCACGTCGAAGCAAGTCCCCAGCTTCAGGTAATTGAAAACAGAACTGCTCTTTAGAAATTCATTTTTTTCGTATGTGGCTCAACCTTTGTGGTAGAATCAAGCAATCGGAAATTAGTGGCTAAATGTTTTAAGCTTACAAAAATTGCCAATTCAATAAATAAAACGATACACAAAACAAGGAATAAATACCTCTGAAACCATATGAAAAAACATTTAATGTACTGCAACAAATAATAAAGCTTAACTCATTTTTAAATGTTCAGTAACATTTCAACTTCTCTAAGGAGACAATTCCATAGAGCAAGCATAAGAAACTGTGATCATTGCCTTTTTCACTAACAGCAAGGAACATATGAAGGCATTTAAGAACCAAGCACTCAAGCAAGTTCCCGCAAAGCAACTTACAACCTTTAAACCACTATAAATCTGAACAGGGGATATGCCAAATATTACATGCACAGATTGTTCCATGCATCGAACAACTGTTTCAAAGCGGCCAATCCTTGACCCAAAACATGCTTTTTTGAAGTATTTGGTACCCGGTGGGACAAAAGGGGGTGGGAGACCAGAGAAAAAGCCAGGGACACTAGTAATTGAGAAATAGCTGGAAATTTCATTTGGGTGGTCTGGTAGGCTATGCTGTGGTAATACATGATGGTGGTTGGTTTTTAATTGATTAGCATGTGCTGTTTTGACTTGTATTGTTTTTGTAATTTTGTATTCCTTGTTTTTAGATGTTTTTAACAATTGGTAAACCCCTCAGAATTCCTGGGATTTGGGCAGTATATAAATTTAATTTAATTTAATTTATGGTGAGTTGCAGAGTCTGCCAGATATTTAAACTGATTTGGCATTTTTAACTGCTTACTGAGTCCTTTCCAAGGACCTGGTGTCAGCAAATGTTGTTCTTTCATGGTGTAAAGGTATTGTTGCAAGATGTAAGCTGTTCCAAGTACAAGTAGACTCTGACTTATGACCACAATTGAACCTGGAATTTTGCTTATAAGTCGTGAGGGTCAGAAGTTGAGTTACCACACAACCAGATACAATTTTAACTCAGTTTTTAAGCCAATCACATGGTTGTTAAATGATCATAAGTCCCAAATTCAGCTTATCCAATGGGCGTTCCCCCCCCCCCAAAAAAGCAAAAGCTTTGCAAAACACAACTATGTGATTCTGGGACACTGCATCTAGCAGTGTTCCAATATCTAAGGGGCTGCCACAAAGAAGACTGGGTCAACCTAATCTCCAAAGCACCTGGAAGCAGGACAAGAAACAATGGCTGGAAACCAATCAAGGAGAGAACCAACCTAGAACTAACAAGAAATTTACAATTAATCAATGGAATGAGTTGCCTCCAGAAGTTATGGGTACTCCAACACTGGAGATTTTTAAGAAGAAGCAGGGTTTCAGCTTGAGCAGGGGTTGGACTAGAACACCTCCAAGAACCCTTCCAACTCTGTTATTTTGGCCTGGTGGCTCAGCAGACTGATAGCATTGTGATTAACACCAGCTGTCTGCAATTACTGTAAGTTCGAATCTCACCAGGCTCAAGGTTGACTCAGCCTTCCATCCTTTCTAAGGTAGGTAAATTGAGGACCTAGTTTGTGGGGGCAATAAACTGGCTTTGTATAAATATACAAAAGTATGAAGGCTATTGCTTAACGCATTGTAAGCTGCCCTGAGTCTCCGGAGAAGGGCGGCATATAAATCAAATTTTAAAAAAAATTCTGTAAATGTGAGCTGGTTGCCAAGAGCCTAAAATGCATTCATGTGACCACAGGAGTAGTATGGCAGTTGTAATTTCAAGCATGGGTCATAAGTAACTTTTTTTTGAGTCCATCGTAGCTATGACTAGTCTTAAGCAACCAATTGTAAGTTGAGATATCCCTGAAAGCTGCCTTTTGCAATTGACTGGTAGTGATTTTGTCAATGCTGATAATGTTTAAGTAGTCCTCCAGATGTTTTAGAATTGCACACAGGGCACCTATTAGCATTGGTACTACCTTTTTTTTCCATAGTCATTCTACTTCTATATGAGGTCTTTGTATTTTTGTGATTTTCTGCATGCATTATTATTATTCATCTGTACCTTGGTATCAGCCATTGATACAGTAGAAGTCTTGACCTGAAGCTGGAGGATGTGGATAGAAGAAATATAGGCAGGGGGAAGTTATAATTGGAGTGAGCTATTGTGCCAGTTTTGATCATTCCTGGAGAAATAAGCCTTTCTGGTAGAACTCACATTACTTCTACCCAGATTACTGCAATGTGCTCTAGATAAGGCAGCCTTCAAAGACTGCTGAGAAGCTACAGATGGTGCGAGTCCTTTTTGGCAAGCAGGAGCCATTACATACCACACAGAACACCAAGCAATATAAAATCTGGTATTTTTTTTATCTATAAAGTCTTATGTGGTTTTGAATCCAGGTAGCTATAGAACTATTTGCTTCAAACTAAATGCCATATCCAGTATATCAGGTATGAAGTTTCTTCTCACTGGACATTCAACGAAGAGGAAGAAATCTGTCTTTTTCTGTCATGACACTAACTTTCTGGAATATTCCCCTGCTAGATAGAAATCCTGAGGGTAACCCCCCCCCATCCATTTTGACTTTCAAAAAAGCTGCTAAAACTAAGCTGTCCCCCCCAAATTTTTGTAATTAGTAATTACTAAGATTATCAGGTTCACATTTTAATAGTAACATTATAGTTTATTAATGAATTATTTTGATTGTTTTTGGATAAGTCATAGTGTTTTTAAGGCTAAACCATCATAATTCATTTAACAATGAGGTGGCATAAAATATAATTAATAAATCTCCATATTGGCAATACCCAGCTCCAGAACCTATAATAACCAACTCCTGTAGTTTCATATAAAGCAAAAATGTGCTTTGTACAACAGAGCTGCCAATATATATACTCTGTCAGGGTACAAAATAGTATTTATTAAGATTGTCCCTTCAAGTAAGAGAGTGACTATTGTATAGGAAGTCTCTAGTCACCAGCTGGAAATGATGGTTAAATACTGATGAAATGAAGCAGGTCAACAGTCACACTGCCTCTTTTCTGAAAGAAGTCACCAATTTAGGCAACTGGGTTATTTTGTCCTAACCAGACTTCAACACAGACTGAATTAGATTCAGATAATCAATGTACTTACAGACATTTTGACTTGGAATGTAGTTGTGGAAAACAATGTGCTCAGCAACAGCTTCTCAACGTCAGAAGTTGTGGGGAATGTAAACACAAGATTATCATTATTACAGTATGTTTTAAGAAGTTGGTGGCTGAACTCAGGGCAGTTCTCAGGTAACAAACAAGACAAATATCAAAAGTATCATATGTACACTGCAGTTCAAGTGTAAGGACCAAGGTGATAAATAATGGAATGTGCTTGACAATGTAGCATCAGTATTGTATAACACTAAAATTAAACAGACAGTAATTAAATTTATTTCTCAGAAAGTATGCTAGATTCATGGTTTTAACTTTATCTCAAACTGACTTCCGCACCTTTCTCATAACATGGTTATGCTTGAAACTCTTTAAAAATGTTTGAAAGTTTCTGTTTCACACTTACAATCGTTCAACTTGAAATAATTCAGATTTGAAACATTTTGCATCCCTACTCTTTTTCTTTTTGCAATAGTTTAATGAGTTTTTATGTTAGTTTAAGTCGTATCTGTGGTAATATATTTAAGTTTATTGTATCTTTGCTAGAAAACAAATAGTTGAATTTCTTCTCTCTCTCTCTCTATCATTTTCTCTTCTTGACTATGAATAACCTTTCTTCTTTTTCTTTTTTATCAATTGAATGAGTACAGTAAAGAGGGGTGGCCACTACTCCAGTACATGCTCTTCAGCAAAATCCCCAGGTGAGCCATTCATACTATGGCTTCATATCACCATCTTTTCGCCTACATTTTTATTTTACTTTTCCTGTCTGTTGAGCTATTCCTTTATCTTTACATTATACATTTTATGATTAGCAAAACTGATGTACTTACTCCCCTTTTCTGTAAGACCTTGGAAAATATATATGATATTTTTGCATATATGATACTAACATTATATTAGATAACTGATTTATTAAGGTATCATTTAAGTTGATAATCACTATTAAAGAAAGATTTGTTAACCCAACATACAGCTAAGTTTGAGGTTGGAGACATACAGTTACAACAACAAAAATAAAAAATAAATACATAATGAAATAAAGCATATTTTCTAATTTGCTTATGTAGAAAGTTATATCAGAAATAAAACTCCTGTTAATTAGCATTAGAGATTTGTATATCAGTTGATATTAGTGAACATAGTGGCTTCCAAGGTCTTGATGAATGCAGCTGAATTAACTGTTTTGCTTACAGTATACAGTATAGGTTTATAAATAGAGTTTTGTAAATACCATATACAGTATAGTTTTATAAATAGACTTGTGAAAGATGCTAGCCCACAAAAGTATTTATTAGCCTTGTAAAAAGTTAATCGTCTGATTTTCATTTTAATATCGACTACAGAAAAGGAAAGTTTTCCTTCCTTTCTGAGTAGGATAAAGCATGGCCACTTTCTTCTTGACTTACAAGACATTAGTTCTCATTTCTGTTAACCTGAAGAATTGTTAAACATGAACTTGGTATTCTGAAACTGTTTCCAGTTTCTGGTTTCTGCCATTGAGTGATATGATTTGAAGTTTTGAAATATTGTAGGTAAGTAACTTTCAGAACAATATGAAAACTCTACACTTCAAATAAGAAGGAAAAATATTCATCATGCATATTAGTGTCTTTTGGAGTGGTTATTGTTTTGTTATCTGGAGAGCCCCTGATTGTTTTTCCCTTGTCTTCCATTGCAATATAGCTTTTATATGGTATGGATTCATCATTCACACCTGTTTGAAGCCAATTATAAGGATGCTTTTCAGAAGATTTTCCTTTTGACAATTTATATTTTATGCTCTTTGGAGTTGTGCTATTGAACACGGCCAGCTGGCTCTGTTCCAGACTCCTAAAACTGACTGATGATTTAGGAAAGTTAAAAATTCAATTCTGGCTCTTTGTAAATGCAAGGAGAGTAAACTACTTGTTGTTTTATTTTGTGTATCCAATAGATACAGAGAACTTGTCTGCAGCTTGCTTGATAAAGATAGAGGCACTTAGAGGAAGATATAGACACTTGCAAATTTGGTCTAAAAATAAAATGAATTTTCTAGTTGTGGGTAGACTGTAGCTCTCTAAATTCCCAGTTACCTCTTCACATTCTGTCTGAGTATTCTGTGTATTGTGTGCAGATCTGAAAAATGCCAAGGTGGGGAAACCTGTTCTTAAACATTGTGAAAAGTAACGCTGTTAGTTCAGAGAAAGAAGGCTAGATTCTCTGCATGCATGTTGGTTGTAAATATTAAAGACTTTTATTTGTGTATATATTTTTGATTTATTTATTTATTTTAAATCTTGTTTGGCATATTCATCCTTGCAGATATTCACAGAGCACCTGTTAAATGAATGTTCTGTTGCCCATTATAGACATTCTTTACAGAATTCAAATGTGTAAGTTGTTACAAGGATTTCCATGGAAACTAAATATCTAGTTGACAGACTCATTTAAAAAAGCAACTGAACTATAGTTGAAAACAGTATGGCTCCAAAAGCATTTTCTTCTCTCTGGGAAATCATGAAAACACTAAAGCATAAATTATATCGTTGGGAGCATGGTAGCTATGTTCCGACACCTTATAAATAAGGTATTGTTGGTACATGTTACAGTCTGATGAAGCATTACAAAAAAACGTAGGGAGTCCAGTTAATAAAGGATGTCTTATTTGTGCATTTGTTTTATTTACAAATGTGTATGCCATCCACACCCGAATGGATTTGTTTGACTTTTTAAATTTTATTTTTATTGTTTTTAAATCAATAACAAGAAAAAAGAAAAGCAAAACATGAAGTTAATTATAATGCAAAGACATACATTTTCAAAGAAGTGCATTAAAAAAGTGAAATATAGAATGGAAAAAATAAAAAATGTTGCAGCAATGAGCTGTTGCAATTCTATATATATTTGTCTAATGTAAATAATCAAGTACACATATGTTAATTTTTAATACAGTTATATAACCCTAACTATCTTCTATTAATGCAGTATCATTTGTGTAAATGAGTTCTAGATTTCATTACATTTATCCATACAAAGTCTACATCTGTAGGCAATCCACTCAAAGATGGCAAATGTCACAAGGTTTTCTATCTATTGAGTGAATGGGGCCATATATTTATCTTTCCAATGTTGCAATGTTGGTGTTTTAGCCATAATAAGGACACAGAGAATCCATTTATGTGGTCCAGTTGTGAAATTCCATGCACTATCCTGTTTCCCCAAAATAAGATCTCTCCTGATAATAAGCCCAATCAGACTTTTGAGCGCATGGCAATAAGGCCAAGCACTTATTTCAGGGTTCAAAAAAATATAAAACAGGGTCTTATTTTCGGGGAAACATGGTAGGTACGTAATTCAAGAGAATGTTACCCTTTGAAAATTTTAGCTTTTTTAAGCTTCATATTATTCATATGCAGTCCGCTACTATCTCTCAAAATTTAGTAAGTTTAGGACATTGTAAAAATGTGTGTTTTAAAGAAACATACATCTGTTTGACTTAATATAAGAAAAATATATCAAGGGTAGAACAAAAATGTAAGAAATCTAAAATACTTGGTTAAGATAGGTTTTAAAGCCCCTCCTAACCTGTAGTAAGAACAGGTCTGCCTTGACACTTACAGGAATTTGTTCCACAATATAGATCTCAGGAAAACAAAATTGACTTTTTATGTTGTCTCAGGAATCAGGTTTAATTTGAAGGAGATTATAATAGCAATAGCACTTAGATTTATATACCACTTTACAGTGCTTCACAGCTCTGTCTAAACGGTTTACAGAATCAGCAAATTGCCCCAACAATCTTGGCCCTCATTTTACTGACCTCAGAAGGATGGAAGGCTGAGTCAACCTTTAGCCTGGTGAGATTTGAACTGCCAAATTGCAGGCAGCCAGCAGTCAGCAGAAGTAGCCTGCAGTACTGCACTTTAACTACTGCAATATTGTGGCTCTAATCAGTGGTTGGACCTGCAAAAGATGTTCCATTGAAAACAAATAAGCATATTGAACAACATAGTTATTTCTATAGGAGTAATGTAGCACCTGTGACACTCAGGTAGCACTTGCACTATTTGAGGCCAGCTACAATTTCTGAATCATCTTCAAGGATTAGTCCATGCATTACAGTAATCCAACAGGTCTTCTTCAAAAGGATGTACTAATAAAACATCTGATAGCGAAACAATTATAACTCAAAAGTCAATAAGCAAAACATACACATAAAGCTTACAGATAGACAAGATAAATATCAACTGTTACCAGTACAACACAGAAGAAAACTCTTAAAAGCAACCTTTCCAGTTTGCTATTTGAGAAATCTGGGCACTGTGGTCAAAATGTACAGATAGTTCTCTATTTACAACCAAAATTGAGCCCAAAATTTCTGTTGTTGACATATTTGTTAAGTGCGTTTTGCCCCATTTTATGACCTTTTTCTCCCCTCAGTTGTTAAGAGAATCACTGCAGTTGATAAGTTATTTGTTGTTAAGTGAATTTGGCTTCCCCATTGGTTTTGCTTGTCAAAAGGTCGCAAAAGAGAACCACATGACTTTGGGACACCCCAATGGTCATAAGTATGAACCAGTTGCCAAGCATCTGAATTTTGATCACATGTTCCTGGGATTGCTACCAAGGTCATAACTATGAAAACTGGTCATAAGTCACTTTTTTCAGTGTCGTTGTAATTTTGAACGGTCAGTAAATGAATTGTTGTAAGTTGAGGACTACCTGTAAATGCAAGGATACCTGGAAAAGGTTGTGCTGATGCTTGAATTGACATATCAAGGAAGACTTTCTTATCAAGTCCTAAGGATAGCCAAAGAAAAGGACTTAGCAAAGAGAATTCCCTGGGGGAGAAAATGTTTGAATACAATGAACCATTGAAAGCAAAGAAAAAAATAAGAGTGCTTCTTTGAAAAAAACCCCCACAAGCATTAGAAACAGGATTTAACAGCTCTTTAATAAGCATATCTTATTGAACTTGTTATAATTCTCACACTGTGTATCACCAGAGGGGTATTTCCAGACAGTTAACATAGATAAACTGAAACCATCACTAGAACTTTACTACAACTTTACTAGAAGTCCAACTTTTACTTTACTGCGTAACATGTTCGTTTCTCTTCTTTTTTTTATAAGTCAGTGGAGCCCCCAGCAGCCAGATTTCTACTCCTAAATCAACAAAATCATCTAGTTCCTCACCAACAAGTCCTGGAAGTTTTCGGGGACTCAAGGTATAGTTTATGTAATTTCATCTGTTTCATAAAAATATTAGGTGGCATTAATAATATTTATTTACATTTAGAATATTTATTTACATTTAGAATATTTACATTTATTTACATTTAAAATAATTGGAAATTATTATTAGATTTAAATTTATTATTTATTATTATTATTTAAATTTATTATTAGGTTTTAGATTTAAAACACAGATTCCAATTGAATATTAATCCCTTACAGTAAGAACAGTTCAGCAGCTGGCATGGCAGATTGATTTCATTTGGATTAGATTAAGTCTATGATTCTATTAGTCTTTTCTGTTTCTGTTTCTTTTCTGTTAAAATCATATTGTAGAAAATATAGGTTATTGTTTCGGTCCAGAAATACTCAAAATGGACCCATTGCAATAAATGAAATTTAGATTTGTTAATTAGCTTTTTAAATCCCACTGATTTTCAGTGTTATCTGCTCAAGAAATCTAAAGGATTAACTATGATTATTGATAAAAAAGTATATAATAATGGTTTTTAAAAAATGGGATTGCCACCTAGAGTCAACAGTATAGTATGCATGTAGCGAATTTATCTGATCCTAAGAAACTAAGCTAGACTCAGGTATTAACAGATACAAAGACTGTTAGAGAATTTCAATAAAATCTTATTTGACATATGATGGAAGACTGAAACTGTAGTTCAGAAATATTAAATAACAGTTATTAAATATTTAATATATATTAAATATTTCAATTTGTTTTGCAGTATGATTTTGATGTATGTTATTGCCATAGCATTAGTTATTTTATCTACTGACAGATTCTCCCTCCTTGTGAATCTTCTGCTAATGTAAATGGTGTGCCTGAAATATCTCCTTCTCTGAGTCCTGAAGGTAAGAATCTAATCGGGCATGTTAATGGTAATTTCAGATCGTTTTTTAAAATAAATCTCCATGTAAGTGATATTATAATATAGAAATATTAAATGCTATTGTCTAACTTTAATTAAATGTAATTATAATCTGATTTAAATATAAATTGCAGATGAATGGAACCAGCAGTGATTTATAATACTGTAATTAGAGTCTTCCTGTTAGAGATAACCTGTTTTTACTCACTAGTGTAGAGGTGATACCTAATGCCATGGGATTGGGCTATCTGAGGACTGCCTCTTCCTGATTACATTAGCCCTGCACAGTGGTGAAATTTAATTTTTTTTACTACCGGTTCTTGGGAGTGGCTTGGTGGGCGTGGTGTGGCTTGGTAGGTGTGGCTTGGTGAGTGTGGCTTGGTGGGCATGGCAGGGGAAGGATACTGCAAAATCTCCATTCCCATCCCACTCCAGTGGAAGGATACTGCAAAATCTCCATTCCCACCCAACTCCAGGGGAAGGATACTGCAAAATCCCCATTCCCCCTCCACTCCTGGGGGAAGGATATTACAAAATCTCCATTCCCACCCCACTCTGGGGCCAGCCAGAGGTGGTATTTGTTTGTTCTCCGAACCACTCAAAATTTCCGCAACTGGTTCTCCAGAACCTGCTGTATTTCAACCCTGTCCCTGCCCCATTAAATCTGTCAGTGGGTACCATTAGCTATGGATCTGCATCTCACCGGCTCAAGGTTGACTCAGCTTTCCATCCTTCCAAGTTGGTAAAATGAGGACCCAGATTGTTCGGGGCAATATGCTGACATTGTAAACTGCTTGGAGAGGGCTGTAAAGCACTGTGAAGCGGTATATAAGTCTAAATGCTATTGCTATTTGGTGGGTTCCTCTATACGGGACTTCTCTGCTGTGGTGCCAACCTCATGGAACATTCTTTTTCCCAAATTAGATTACCTCTATTTCTTTGATATTCTGGAAGGACCACAAGATCCAGTTATATTATCAGGTCTGGTGTTCTCAGGGAACCAGAGACATGCTTAGATGGGTACATTGCTGAGGTGGCTTCTCTGTGCCTAAATTTTGTGTATCTGATTTATAGGATTGGTTTTTTTAATGTGATTTTTATTTTTCTATATTTGTTTTTTTTTCTGCTTGTTGTATGCTGCTTCACCTTACTTTGAGGTGGTTGACCATACAAATTTGATTAATAAATAAATAAATTCCCTTATACGTGTGCACACACACACACACACACACACACACACACACTTTTTCTCACACACACAGACTATAAAAAGAATAAATATGGCAAGTGGGTGGTCAAAGAAGAAGTTATTTGGAGGCTAAAATTATGTCCTGTAACCATATATAAGCTTTTGCATAAGACACTTATTTATATATTTTATTAAGTGTATAAAAATTCCCTTTTTAATGACTCTGTAAAGTAATGTTCATATAAATATTAACATGAACCTTTATTGTTTCTGTTCAATAAAATACAATAGATAGATATAATATTAGCATTCAGCAAAGTTAGGCAAAGACTGAATTGGGATATATTTCCTCTTTTATAAAATAAAATCTACATGTTCTTAGCAAACATTTACATTTATTTTGAATTTTTAGTCTTTGCATTGCATTACAACATCCTTTTCCACCCCAGGGAATGTTCAGATATACTGTATTTTTATTCCTAACACTTCGGAAGGGATTTGAATTAATGAAGACTACAAGAGAATCTCAGCATGCAAATTAAATCTGTGTGTGTGTGTGTGTACATGTGTTTTCGAGTCAGTATTGATTCCTGGCAACTGCCTAAACACGTTCCTGCAGTCCTCTTGGCAGGATTTCAGAAGTAGCTTGTCCTTGTCGTCTTCCTAGAACTGAGAGAGAGTGAGTAGTCCAAGATTATTTAGCTCGCTTCAAGCCTGTCCAGTCTGAAGGGCTGAGTCAAAAGCTGAGGCCCATAGCAACAAGGGCGGGACTTAACAACTATGACAGACTCAGTCCATCAATCTGAACAGACGAGTACAACCTGTCCTGGCTGCTGTCTCCACCCACAATGGAGAACTTGAACATCCTCTCCTGGTTTCTGGCTTGTTGCCTTAACCACTGCACCAACCCGGAATACATTAGAAAACAAGATTAAGCAAGGCAGTTTAGTTAAATTGTGCTCTAAAAGTAACTTAATTCTCTTTATTTGTTGCAATGAAACACTTCCCGTTGTCTTCAAGCTTTCTTTTAACTCAGGGGTGGCAAACTCACAGCCCACGGGCTGGATGCATCACGTGCTGGCCATGCCCATGCCCGGTTTAAAGAAGGGGGAGAAGTCCTGATAGGTCACATGACGACGCCGTGATGCCGGGAGTTTGACAGCCCTGTTTTAGCTCTTACCTCTGTAGTTTGCAGAACCAACAGTTTCTAAGGAGGTACTCCTGGCTTTAGGAAGTGCTGGAGAATACTCCAGCTTCAGTGAAAAGATTGGTAATACCCTAAAATACAAAAGACAGGACAGCAAAAGGCAATTTCTCTCAATACAAGCTGGAAGGCATAATTCTTTAAAAAAGGCTGTGCATCACAGCCTTCTCGGGCTTTTGTGGTGTGGGAATATCCTCACAGATTTCTCCAGTTGCATAGGCTTCAGGATTTTAGCAAGTCATGCTGCAGAATACTAAGATAACATTTCTTTAGCAAGAATGGAAGTAACTTCGGTGCAGCTGCTTCACATGTGCAGAAGAAGCCTCTTGTCGCCTTTGCAAATGTGAAGGGGGTGTAAATCTGAGCAAAGCAAAGCAACACAATCTCTTTCATCTTAGAACATCTTTGATCGAAGAAAATATATTAACTAAGTTTAATGCTGCCCGGAAACCACTTATCAACTTTTTGCGTGAAACAGAAAAGAATGAATTTATGATATATGGATTTGATGATTAGAAAAAATATAGAATATAGAAAAAAAAATATATAGTAAGGTTAAACTACATTTAAAAATTATAACTGCTGCAAAAAAAATCAGAAGTTACTCCTTTATATTTTCATTGTTTCCTTTTTTCCTGCACTCTTGGCTTTATCTTTTCTGTCTTTGTTTCTTTTCTTTTTTTTCTAGCTATTAGTTCTTGTTTTTATTTGTCTTATTTAAAATCTTAGTAAAGTTGTTGGGAAAAAACTGGAGAGACCCCATTGTTTTGGTACATTATTTCATTCAAATCTACAGTCGTTTCCTGTAGAAGAGTTACAGAGTCTTTGAGAAAATGAGGCATAGAAACATATTATGATGACCCTTGGATGATCCTTATTTAAACTTTTTCTTCCATTTTGGATTCATTTTATTTGGATTTTTTAATGTACATTTTATAGCATTTGTTTGTATTTTCTCTAACATTTACCTTTTTGTATCTTGAAGGTATAAATGGAAACAAGTACTCTGAGACAGCCACCATTCTTGAAAAGTACAAAGTGGGAAAAGTGATTGGTGATGGTAATTTTGCAGTGGTAAAGGAATGCATAGAAAGGTGAGCAAGGATATTGCCTAGATATCTCACTATTTTCTTGCAACTTTAGAATGAACAGTGAGAACATATAGGCAAATTATTATAATTTCAAGAAGAACTTTAAGGGCCCTTCCTCTTTTCTGGCACCTGTTAGAAAACCTGAAATTTCCAATATAATATTCTCCTCATAACTATTGGCATCTGATGATGACTATCAAAATTATCTATTTACCTTGGGGGGGGGATAATACCCATTATGTTAATGGATTATATTATATACTAATGCAATGATTAATAGGAAACTTTGAAAAAGTTTTATTAGCACTAGAAACTTTAGGTTTTCAGTATTATTAGTCAAACTAAACAATTTATACTTTTGATAATTCTATGCAGTTTTGTGTTTCTAGTTGTTCATTTTTTTGGTTGTTCAATCTCATTGTTAGAAAAGCTGGGAAAAATATTGCTTGAATAGAGTCACTTGATTGAAATGGTAGGCTATGGAAATTGAATCAATCATTTAAGGCAGTGTTTCTCAACCTTGGAAGCTTGAAGATGGGTGGACTTCAATTCCCAGAATCCCCCAGCCAGCGCTGCTGCCTGGGGGATTCTGGGAGTTGAAGTCCACCCATCTTCAAGCTTCCAAGGTTGAGAAACACTGATTTAAGGGATCAATGGAAAGAACAATGTGGGTATTCAGTGCATCAGTAGTTTTCTTAGCAAGGATAGGCCAACACCATTCTTTTGTAATTGTCAGTATTTGTTTGATAATGAAGTTCACAAAATGAAGACCACAAGAGAGTAGTGGAAACTAGAGATTTTAGTGGAAACTACAAAGGTAACTTTGTTTAAAAACAAGGCTCAAATCCAGGAAGCCCTCATTGGCACTTGCACAACATCTGTTCAACAACTTTAACATTTGATTCCCAAAGGAAGGCCAAATGGGTTGCTGAATGTCCAGACATAGGAAGACACATAAATGACCCCAGGTATCAGGTTTTGAACTACCATGCCAACAATGGACAATCCTATATAGGATTTGCACTTGCACAACATCTGCTGGGATTCACTGTATAAATGGGGGATAGTATCCTCCCCTCGGTGTGGCTGCGGGGTCCCGCATCAAACTGTAGATTGCATCACGACCGGCTGTAAGCTAAGGGTATATATTGGTCCAGTACCTGATTTTTTTTCATATAAACAATGCTGCGATTCAGTGGTTAGATGGCCTAGACTCGTGTTGGCGACCCTATGGCATGTGTGCCGAAAGTGGCACGCAGAGCCATTTTTCCGGGCACACGAGCTGTCGCCAAGCTCACCTGAAACTGTGCATGCGCGCCTGCCCCAGCTGGTGTCCAGGTCTCTGGTGCGCATGCGCGCAATTCAGGGGACCCAGCTGGTCTTCGGAGCTCTCCTGCGCATGCATGCATGCTTGCACATGTGCACAAGATGACTGGTGCGCAGTGTGCGCATGCAGAGACAGCGTTTGCGCACATGCATTGCATGCATGAAAGCTGTGCGCATGCACATGGTGAAATTGCGCACGCAGCACGCGCTAGTGCACATGTGTGAAAGCTGTGCGCATGCACAGATAGTGTGGTTGTGCACTCAGCACATGGGGAGGAGCCGCGCATTACCACGGAGGGTATGTGAGCACGTGCAGCACGTGAAGTGCATTCTTGTTCGGCACTCGGTAAGTAAAAAGTTCACCACCACTGGCCTAGACTTTGGTATCTGATTATACAGCTTTTTAATGTTGAGGGTAAAGTGTCATTCTCCAAGCTTATGGGTTGGCTTTTGAACCTTTCATTACCAGGCTAGGTAAACTCTTCAGCAGACTTAGGGGATGTCAGTGTCACTGTTCTTATGTTTATAAGGGCTTTTTAACATTCATATTTTATTGTGGTTTTTTTTTAATCTAGGCAAAATGTTAACATATATTGCAAGCTCATATGATATGACATACACTGAGTCAATTTTTTTAAAAAGAAAGGATGAAATTTATCTTTTGAAATGGTGTGTCCAATATACATATAACTGGAAAAATAGTAAATTGGAAGCATAGACAACAATAGACGGGGTTGACATGTTTTTAGTTGCTTTAATTGGTTATCGTGGGAGCCTATTTGTATTTCTTGATAGCACAGCTCCTTTTCTGAACTGCTTCTAATTTTTTGGTAAGAAAAAAAATTATTAGCTAGAACACATCTCTAATTTTGTAGTCATGGCAATTATTTGAATATTTATTTTTATGTAGAGATGTTGAATGGGGAGGGGTAGAAAAGTTGCAGGTATCATGTTTGAAATGTGTATGCCTTCATTATGCCAAGGGCTTATCCTTGTATTCCTGATAACAGAAATTAAAAAAGACTTGGGGAAAGTATACCCTTCTGATAAAAATGATTCTTTTTTTTTTAGCATGATATTATGCTGGGGCAAACAAAATGAGTTCACTATATGTTGTTCTTTTAGACTGCTAAATTACAGAATCAACTGTAATTACTCTTGCCTGTACAAGGTAGCAATAATATTAATTTTAAATGGTTATGGCAATTTTTCAATGTAGTTAAATCAAGTGACATCACTTTGCAAAGAGACAGAATTGTTTGTCAATACAAGGTACTTTCAAGAGAAAAATGAAATTAATGAAATTTCTTAGCGCAAGGTGTTTGTAGAAAGATTTATCATAGCATCTGAGGAAATGTACAAATGTATAGCTCTTAAGCAGAAGTTTAAAAAACAGTGCTTATTTGCTCAAATTTCTTCCACTTGTATATCCATCATACAATCCAGTCTACTGTTTCTTAAAGATATTATTGAGTTGTCTTTTTCTTCCCCCTTTCATTCTCAGCTGGCTGCAGTTGTAACTATGACAACCTGGCAGACACAGCTGTGCTTTTATAGCAGTGTTATACTTCTACTGAACCAACCATCTTCGATATGTGCAGTTCTGGTGTTATGCTTCTATAGCAAGATTTGATAGCCTATATGCCCGAGTAAAAGAATGTTTATTACTATTCTTATTACTATTTATTTATTCTTATTCTTGATGTTTCTTTTTGTTAACTGGTCACAATAATCTGCTGTCATAAAAAGGTGTATTATATTTCCATGGATTATTCCAATATTATGCAGCAGCAAATATTTATGCCCATTTCACAGTTTTGTTGCGTTGACTTTCAATAATGAAATTGCGTTGACTTTCAATAATGTATTTTCAATGCGTATTGTTTTTAATAAACCAAAAATAAAAATTTAAAAATATTTTTTAAAATATGCCTTTAAAATTGGACTTTATGAATCTTGAACAGGTAGTTCTCAACTTACAGTTGGTCGCTTAGTGACCATCTCGAGTTACAACAGACCCCAACCCAAAAAAAGGAACTTATGACCATTTTCCAAAGTTATAGCTGCAGTGTTTGCTGAACAACTGTAACATTTGTTTTAAAACCAAGCATTCACTTAATGAACACTGCAAAACAAGTCATAAAATTGGGTCACTCACATGATAACCAGTTTTACAGTTCTCATATCCTACCACTTAATGTCAGGCTCTATTATGGTTAAAAGTCTTGGACTCTTTGTAGTCAAAAAGGGTAACATTGAGTAAATATATAAACTGGACACACCATTTCAATCCATAACATCTATTCCTTCTGTAATGTTTTATTTTCAGATGAAGTTACCTTTATAGTTTCCACTGGAAAATATGGTTATCAAAGTTGTCTGGTGAAATCCTATTAATGCTACATTAAACACTTCTTAAACCTGTAGCTTCAACATAGATTTAAATTGTGATTCATTGTACAGTATTAATTAAGACAACTGACGTCAGGATTTCTCTGAATTGTCTAATTTAATAGACACTAGTAAAATGGCTAAGAAATATTTCTAATATGACTTCTTTTTTAAGGATATAAATGTGAAATGAGTAGCTGATATAATGGATTTCAAAGAAAATATCCATCTTATTCTTTATTCCCTTACAAATATGTAAATATTGTTATAGAACTACAGGACTGTACATTTATTAAAGTAGGGTGAAAAATACGTAGTATCTAACCATAAATCTGGACACAACGTGAAGTTTTATATTTCAGTAAATTAAATGATAACAGAAAGGCTGGTTTTTGTAGTCAAGGCAACAGCAGACATGACTTGCTGAGAGAAAAAAGCAGAAGCAGTTCTATCTTCATTTTGTAATCTGTTCCCTTTGAACAAAGATATTTTCACAGTGTGTACTCAAACAAAAGACTTATTTAAGCACTCTTCTCTTCTCCTTTTGTCCTTTGTAGATCCACCAGAAAGGAATTTGCCCTGAAGATTATTGACAAAGGAAAATGTTGTGGAAAGGTAAAGAAGAAATACTGAATTTCTGTATCATAATACCAGAATATTAAATTATTTTAAGTCTTCACTTACCACTTCTGTTGGAAAATATTTTCTCTTGGAACAGCATTTACCTTCTGGGTAAAATGTTTTTCATATAAAGCTATAACAGCAACTATCCTTGGGAAAATTTCATAAAGATAGTCCAGGTTATAAATTATTGAACTGGATATTGAACAAATAAAAAAAAATTGTAATATTAAGCCATTCCCTTAAACCTTTAATTTTATTTTTAAAAATTAAGGTGGTTATATTTTTAAAAAATCCTGGTACCAGAACAATTAGAGACCCAGTTGAATGTATAGAATAAGTTACAGGGTAAGGAAACTTTAAAATCTTCTAACTGTTATAATTTCGGGGATTGCAGAAGTATTCAGTTTTAGAATACAATGATCAGAATAATATTTGATTGTATTTTGTGTGAATAGGATCTGACAGATTAGTGCTTTACTAGATATTTTTTAAACAATAGGGAAAAGCACATGCTTCAAGTATTATTTTTGCTAGAGTGGTTTTTGATGGCTGTGACTGTCTCCAGTTCTTGTTTTTGTATCAGCCTATAGCAGAGGTGTAAAACTCAAGGCCCGGGGGCCAGATCCGGCCAATGGGGTACTTAGATCTTGCCCATGGGGCCACTCTGGAAACAGCAAAGGACCGGCCCATGGTGCTTCTGCCAACAAAAACAGAGCTCGGGAGCCTGTTTTCACTAGCAGAGCACTCGGGCCACCACAGGCACCCTTGACAGGAGTGATGTCAAGCTGGCCATGTCCACCCTGGCCCCCCGAGGTCAAACACAACCCTGATGCAGCCTTCAATGAAATCAAGTTTGACACCCCTGGCCTATAGATTTGTGAGCTTGGACTTATGATAACTAAATTTGTGAAGTTCTGTACAAGTTTTACTAGAAATTGTAGCGGGATCATCTTTGGTTTACTGTTCCGTAAGGGTCTGATTTAGCTGCAACAAAACCATAGTCTTACCAGCCTATTTAAAGAAAGATATTCAGCAACTGCTTAATTAGCTTTATGTATGTTCTGCCCACAAAACATGTCTCCCTCTTCACATGTAGCAAAATTCCACAGCAAGTTTATTATCAAAACTCTTCTCCCTTTCAGTATAATAAAAGGGTACAAATGAATCCTAGTTGCATACAAAAAAGATGCATTTATTATATATCACATGTAATATTTTATTTCTGTTATTTCTTCCAATAGATTAATTGTTGTGAGTTGAGTTATTTCAATCTAGCCTTTATTCCAACTTTAGTATGAGTTCCACCTTTTCCCCATTAGGCCATTTATTGAGTTCCAACCTTATTGTCATTCATATATTGCATTTTTTCCCATTCAGCATATATTTCTTTGGAGCAGACATATGTTTGTTCCAGAAAGACTGTTGATGCTCTCATATAATGATTAACAAAGGTGCGACTTGTTAAAACAATGTATGATGTACCACTTATTCACAGAATATTCACACTTAGCACATGGGTTTCTAGTAACTAAAGCATTAGGGTAACAGTTAATGAAATGCTCAGATCTGAACATAAATCAACTTATCTTTGTGATAATTACAAAAATAGCATTGGACTTTTCAAATACTACTATTGCTCCTTGCTCATAAACTATTCACATGTACTTCCCACAGTCTTCTTCACAAATGCATGAAGTGCATGAAAACAGAATGCTTGTACTGTGCTGAGGATCACAATTCTGATACTTTAAATAAACAGCCATGGGAATGCACCTAGTTGGCTACTTGCAATTGAAAACACCAAGTATATTACTGATCAGTGATTAGTTTTCATACTAAATTAACTTTAATTAGTATATTTTGGAACTATTATTAGTAAAGGCTTTTCCAATTCCAGTTTATTTTTTTGTAGATAGATAGCCACCTGATCAAGTATTGAGATGAACACTGGAAAGATCACTAGGTTGCTGCTTCTCACTTAATTCTTCAAATTATAATAGTTTTTTAAAATATGTTCTCCTCCTTTTCTAACAATGTATAGGAACACTTGATTGAAAACGAAGTGTCAATTCTACGCCGAGTGAAACATCCCAATATTATTATGCTAGTAGAGGAAATGGATACTGCAACTGAGCTATATTTGGTGATGGAATTGGTCAAGGTGAGGTTTTAGGTTTATTTTTTTATCATTATTGCATAGTACATTGTTGAGCTTTTCAGAGATCTGAAAATATTCTAAATTGTTATTGAACAGGAAATTTATGTAGTTATATACAAACATACCATGAATTTTCTGTTTCACACTCCATGATAGTTCATAGCTGGAGACTGAATATTATGCAAAAACATAATTGCTTCTAAAATCAGGCATATATGACTGTGCAATATTTTGCTTTTACACAGTAAAATGTGATGTTCTATCCAAGTATATAAAATACTGGAGGAATAAATTCTGATTAGAAAACAAATATCAGGCTCAACATAAAACCTCATAGCTTTTTCTTGAATTTTTGTGTTTAATACTGTATTAGGTTACCATATTTCTTGATATGTGTAGCAGAATTTATTGCCTTATATTCTAAAAATCTCATTTTGTCCATATTTTTTCATATATGAAAATAGATAATTCTCAAGGATTCCATTCTATACTTAAAAATTATTGTATTCTGCTTATATATGATGAGAAATTCTGGGAATTGAAATCCATATACTATATCTGGGAGGTACCCAGATTGGTAAAAGTAACTGTAAACCTAAGTTTTTAACTTTTAAAACTATTTTTATAGCCAATTCATCTTCATTACATATATGCAGTATGATAATGGGTTGTTGAATCTTCTAGACATTAAAGGAACTACTAAAGTTGTAAAAATGAAGCAAATTGAGGCCTGTTCAGTGTACAGATTAACATCATAACATAAAGTATTATTATAATGGCATAACTTCCACCATATTATCCACCTGCTCTGGTAGGAACATAATCAATTGAACATCATGCCATCAATTCCCAACCATCACTCTAATTAATTTAACCATCACTCAGTTATTCTTTGAGGACCTCTCATTTCCCCCCTCCCCACCCAGAAACAAGCATGGATCAAACTCCCAGTTCCCACTCTGGAAGACACATGGGGCTGTACAAAGGCCCAGTCTGTCAGAGGCGGAACTAAGATCACTGAGATGTCTGCCCACCTCCTTGGGATCTATAGCCTCAACCCAGTGGTGAAATTCAAAATTTTTTTTACTACCAGTTCTGTGGGCATGGCTTAGTGGGTGTAGTGTGGCTTGGTGGGTGTGGCAGGGGAAGGATACTGCAAAGTCTCCATTTCCACCCCACTCCTGGGGGAAGGATATTGCAAAATCTCCATTCCCGCCCGACTCTGGGGCCAGCCAGAGATGGTATTTGCCGGTTCTCCGAACTACTCAAAATTTCCGCTACCGATTCTCCAGAACCTGTCAGAACCTGCTGGGTTTCACCTCTGCCTCAGCCCATGTACTGGTAACGCCACAAGATGTAAGCTAGGTGCCATCTGAAATGATTCTGTCCATTCAGGTTCAGTTTGGAGTGAAAGGGAGTAATAAATAATAATCGGCTATGCGAACTAATCTCTATGGGACTAAGATATATATTTATTGTTATTGTTATTTTGTCTACATCATTCCATATGGAACGGTCAATACAAATATTATCTTTCTAAATAAACTCTTAATGTAACTGTAACTCTTAAATTAAGTCACTGATCTAAAAATTAATGATATACATCACTTTTTTCTCATTTCCTTTCAACTATGACATAACTTATACAGTAGTCTTCTTTGTAAATTCTATGATTTTCATTGGCATTTTTATTTACAGGGAGGAGATCTTTTTGATGCTATTACATCTTCAACAAAGTACACAGAGCGTGATGGAAGTGCAATGGTCTACAATCTAGCCAGTGCACTGAAATATCTTCATGGTCTCAGTATTGTCCACAGAGACATCAAACCTGAGAATCTTCTGGTATATTTCTTGTTTTCTGTATATTATTTTAAGGATGCATACAAGTAGTGTTAAGCAGCAATTTCTTTACAGAGTTAGGCTGTGAGCGTAGCCCAGTCATTCTCACAGAACATCTTAAATCAGTGAAAATATTATCCCTGCTGTTAGCAATAGAAGTTTTAGATTCATAGAAGGTGAGGCCACCTCAAAAAAAAATTAATCATGTTTTAGCAAACTACTGATTTTAAATAACATTTTAAATATGTTTTAGCCTCCAGCCCCCTAATCATCTTTGTTGCTCTTCTCTGCACTCTTTCTAGAGTCTCAACATCTTTTTTACATCGTGATGACCAAAACTGGATGCAATATTCCAAGTGTGGTCTTACCCAGGCATTATAAAGTGATATTAACACTTCACATGATCCTGATTCTATCCCTCTGTTAATGCAGTGTAGGATTCTGTTAGCTTTTTTGGCATCTGCAGCACACTGCTGGCTCATATTTCAGTGATTGTCCACTAGGACTCCAAGATCCTTCTCACAGTTGTTACTATTGAGACAGATGCCACCTATTATGTACCTGTACATTTTTCTTGCCTGGACTCCCTTGAGTCCAGATTAAGTCTGTAGTAAATGCATGAACATGTTCAAGTACTCTTCTTGATAGCAATACAGAAGTGGTTTGCTACTGTCTTTGTCCCAGGGGTGTGTGTGTGTGTTTGTGTGTGTGTGTGTGTGTGTGTGTGTGTGTGTGTGTGTGTGAGAGAGAGAGAGAGAGAGAGAGAGAGAGATTTAATTTCCCAGTCTAGCTAAGAACTCTGTATCTAGCTATGAACCAATTCTGATCTCTATTATCCAATTTCTATCTTCCCTTTTCATTTTTATCAACAGATCTGCCCAGTTTATGGCTATTATTATCTCTATTTTTTTTAAAAAAAAACCTCATGGTCCTAAAACAGCTTTATATGCTACTAGGTCATCATTTCAGAAATATTTTCCTACCTAAGTAAACAAATAGAATGACAGAGCAATAAAAGCACTGGAAGTGGAAATTATCTCTGATTTCCTGCCAGTTTAACTATTCTGAATGCCCTTTGGCAGCCGATGGTGGTACTGGTCTACCTGGCCTCTGGAAGGCTAGGACATGACTAGTCTACTGAACCTCTGGGCAGCAGCACTGAAGCTACTACAAGTGCTGCAATTTAATATTTTACCATCCGCAGTCCTTGAAGGTAAGTTGAACAAGGTTGCCTATGCAGAAAGGGTTTGTCTGTGTAATGCAGGAGCCATTGGGTTCTTGACACACGTACTGCTATATTGGGATTTTTACAGAGATCTTAGAAATTCAATATTAAATCCCCTCCTCAAGTCTTTGGTTAATGTCCTGATAAATTGTATATTCAATATCTTCTATTAGATAAATAATATGGCTACATTTGTGTTTTTAGCATGGAAACCTTGTGGGTAAACTACCGGCTACCTCTAAGTGTCGTCTTAGAGATAAATAGGCTTGCTGTACAACCAGGGGTGAAATGCTCCCGGATCGGACCAAATCTCCGGATCCGGTAGTGATTTTTCCCTGTGGTTCGGCAATCCGGTAGCGATTGCTGCCTGGGTGTCATTACTTCCTGGTTTTAACCAGGAAGTAATGTTTTTTTAACCTTCTGTGCATGCGCAGAAGATTTTGTGTACGCGCAGAAGGTGTGTGCGTGCATGGCGCATGCACTTCCGAACTGGGAAGGAAGGTAAGTAGATTTCACCCCTGTGAATCTCACATCATCGTCATTATTAATACTATCATCACTTATAGCTATTACCTATCTTGGATTGGATTGAATTGTGACTGTAAATATGTTTAGATTTAACTGAAATATTAGATCAGAAAAGGGCAGATTTTTATTTTTGTAGCATTATTTACCCCCTTAGTTTTTATTATTATATGTTATTATAAAGCTCATTTTAGTACAGGATAAAACCTGCATATCTTTATTAGTCTAAATGTAAAATCAAGTTTATCAAGATATTAATTAATATGCTATACTACATAAAGTCTTAATACAATTTATATTCCATTGTGTAGTTTCATATAGATTTTAGTGTTAATGAAATTTTTATTGTTTTACATTATTTTATGCTAGTCAGTAACCATGATAAAGATTTTCAAATGATTTGATCCTATTTAATTCTTTTTTGTTTTCTGTCTGTCTGTCTCTCTCTCTCTCCCCCCCCCACCCACTCTGTGTGTGAGCATTGTTTTGCATGAGCTAAAAGCAGCTAAGTGCTGCCATCTGCTGGATTTATAGAATTGCTACATTTCAATTATTGTGTGGAAACATTTTATGGGTTGCTGGGTACGATGGATAATGAAGCAAAAGGATGATTCAACCAATCAATATTTATTATGAATTATGATCAATTAATCTTTAAAAAACTGAAAAAATGATTTGCCTACAAAACTATCAGTCATTGATCTTTTTCCTTAATTTATATTGGAAAAAGAGTGTGTGTGAGTGTGTGTGTGTGTGGGGAGAGACGGAGAGGGAGGGAGAAAGAGAGAGAGAGAGAGAGAGAGGTTATTGCTTTGAGGCTAATATTCAGAAACCATTATATAAATGAAAAAGGGAGAAGCATTCCTTAAACCCTGGTAAAGTAAATAGTTTTAGGAAGAAATTCACCTGCAAGTTATATCTAGATTAGATATAACTTGCAGATTCAATCTGTGTGACTAGATCTAGTTTAGTCATAATAATATACAACCTTTTCTCTAGGCCTTTTGGGCAAAATTCTACATATTTTCTGGAATTTCTGGATTTTCTGCAGTGTAATTTGGCTTGTTTTTATGTGGTGTTAATCTCCAGCTAAGATGAGAGGAGGTGTGAAGAGGGGCCTGAGTTTAGAGTCCTTTCTCCGCAAGAAATGATGTAAATATTACTCTCCCAAAATCTCTTTAAGGCTCTGTTCCCAAGGCAATGAAGTCAATCTGGCAAGATTCGTGTAAATAGGCCTGCAACAAATAAAGAAGTAACTTTGATCAGCTCATAGTGTCATTCGGGTTCCTTGTGCCTCAAATATTGCACTGAACTGTTTTGTTATTACAGTTATAATCTTAGGAATTGCTGTATTTTAGGTCCACTACTTAAACTAGTGTAATGAATAGAATGTATGCTGCCTAAGAAGAAATTGAACAATTGTCAGCCTATTTCTAAATAGTTCTATCGTAGTTTAATACATGCATAGTATTCTAGATTGCCTAACCATGTTACTGGATATTGTTCTTATCAAATTACGCAATATGGTTTATGATCTCCCCCCCCCCCTCAGGTCTGTGAATATCCAGATGGGACAAAATCCTTGAAGCTAGGAGACTTTGGATTAGCCACTGTAGTTGAAGGACCTCTTTATACAGTCTGTGGCACACCAACCTATGTGGCTCCAGAAATCATTGCAGAAACAGGGTGAAAATTCATTTTAAAATAGAATTTTGGTGTTCTTAGTCCACAAATAATATTAATGTTATTTTTTAAAAAACTAAATGTGATCTGTTCCTAGCTGTCTGAACATGTATTGTTAATATTTTTAATTTATTCTTAGAACTTGTCTAAAAGCCTGTTGAAAACTACAGCTTATCAAATTTTGTAAATCAGAGGTTTGTTAGGTATAATCTTAAATTTGCAGCTTACTTACTGAAGATAACTTTTTCAGTTTCTGATAAATACAAATAGAATGGTTAAGTGCAAAATAAATCAATTATATATAGCATGGGACAAATATTAAAAATAATAAGCCCAGACTATACCGTTACTTAAATATTAAATATTTATTTTAATAAAGGCATGTAAGCTAAAAAGTAAAAAGTGATCAGTTGAAACCCTGATCATAAATTTTAATTTAAAAATATGAAGTCATTCAAAACTCTTTCTTTAATATGGTCAAAATATCTAGTTGGTTTCAATATTTTCAAATAAGCAGCATAGTTCTAAGAACTACAAAAACAGAGTGGCATATTTAGAAATTTAATTGAATTTGAAAAGCTTAAAACACAAAACTATATAGTTAAGTATGTACATAGCGCAATTGAAATATCATTCAGAAACTGAACAAGTAAAACTGCATAATTTAATAGCTACAGAATGTAAACAGGTATGCAGCAATAGGAATATCAATGGAAGGAAAACATGTAATGTTCTGTGAATATTAGAGGAACTTAGGGAAATACACACACACACACACACAATATAGCACACACGTACACACGTACGTACATATGTATGTATATACATAGGTATGTATGAATATGTATATGTGTGTGTGTGTGTGTGTGTGTATGTATATATGCACTGAAAATTGCATTCAATTGCTTATTAGATTGGCAAATTAAGTTTTGAATTATGCACCAATATTAAAAGTGGTGATATCTTTAAAATGCTGATACTAAATTCAATATACTTTGGTGTGTACTATGTAATATATTTAAATTGCAACTTTCCCAAACGTTTTTTTTATAGTTATGGCTTAAAAGTGGATATTTGGGCTGCAGGTGTCATTACATACATTCTCTTATGTGGGTTTCCACCATTTCGTAGGTAAGTTGAATCAATGACGCATGAAAAGTGTTGCATTTGCCTTTTAGCCACAGTGCTCTGATTTTTAATTGATAAATATTCTATTTAAGGAGATGTCCTAACACTCATCTGGTTTTCCAAAATTTGGGGTAACAGGTGATTTTAGTTTATCTCCTATAATGAAAAAATGACATTGATAAAAGAAGGAATATGTAAAACTGCATTTTATGCAGACTTGGTTTTCCCATAGATAGGTGCAAGTTATATTCAATAGACAGTTTTAATTTTGAAGTTGTCATAGATATACATGCTTAATTCCTTTTTTTTTTTTTGCTATTTTATATACTTGTCATTGTATCAGAAATTCAATATTCCACTATCTGAGAAATATCTGGAGGCAATAGTAGAGATATTATTAAAGCTTCCTGAAGCAAATAATTTACAAAGAAAACAATAGTGATTGTATTTATTCTCAAACTAAATTCAGCTCGTATAAATACTGAAATTAGGACACAGTATTGCATGTCAAGTTAATCTTGTAATTTACCTTTTATAATGAACAATATAATGACCGTCATAGTAATTTTTTTCCTGCTTGGTTTTGATCCCCAGTGAGAACAACATACAAGAGGATCTTTTTGACCAGATCTTAATTGGAAAGCTAGAATTTCCTTCTCCATATTGGGATAACATCACTGACTCTGCTAAGGTACCAAGATGCATTGAAAGTGTGAGAATTGAAAGTATGAAAACATTTCTGATAAAGCAAAATCGGCCTATCCCTACCATAATTAAAATGCTTTCCTTACTTAGGGTCTGTAAAACTCAAGCCTTTATGTAGAAACATACAGTCTAACCACATAATTACTGTATATGTTGTCCTGATTTGTTGTTCTGAGTGACCCACAGAGTATAAGAGCCACGGTGGTACCCTGGTTAGAGTGCACTTCTGCAGGCTACTTCTGTTGAGTGCCAGCTGCCTGCAATTTGGCAGTTCAAGTGTCACCAGGCACTTCCATTCTTCTGAGGTCGGTAAAATGAGGACCCAGATTACTGGGGGCAATATGCTGACTCTGTAAACCACTTAGAAAGGGGCTGTAAAGCGGTATATCAGTCTGTCAGCCTTGGAAGCCATATTAGGCCGAAAGCTTCAATGCTTCTAGTACAGAGAACTTTGGAAAATGCTTGCTTCAGCGTCTTTACTTGGAGTTGGGGTTTTCCTGGAACGCTGACACTAAATGCTATTGCTATTGGGGATATTTTCAACATTATTTATTTATTCATTTATTCTTTTGTTTGATTTATATTGCTACACTTTGTGCACACATGGTTTTGGGATATATGGATTAAAAGATGAAAACCACAACATTCAACCTGTGCACCAGGGATAAAACAACCACACTCCCAAAAACAGTATTCACATTCACAAAAACAAAATACCAACAACTGCAGATCTCATCTCCTGACTTAAACATCTAGGTACGATCTGTTCCAAGGCCAAAATCGTCCTGTTTTTTCAACGAAAAGCCCCAAACAACCATGTACCAAAACCTCAAGTAGGGTCCATCTGGTGCTGAAGGAGGACTGTTCAGATGCTGATTAGCTCTGAATATGGCATGCACTACCTACCCTTTTCCAAAATAGAGACATCTCAATCAAGAGTTGAACAACTACCGATAACAAAATGGAGTCAGTCATATTAACATAGCTACCTTATAGATTGATTGAGGAAGAGGCATAATAAAGTACACTCAATTTGCTTTTGTTTGGATTAGGCTAGAAGAATTGGTTATTTTCCAAAATTGGTATGATTAACATAAACTAGCATAAAATTATAGGAAGGATACAAGACAAGACATATACTACATGACCACAAAATGTGATTATTAGGTCATGGTGGTGCCAATGTAAACTCTGAGTGAGAAATGAAGTAAGAAAACATAAAATAGCTCACAGTTTCTAACAGTCATATAAATTAGTTGCATTTATAAATACTTGACTGTTCTGGGTAATGCATTAATGTAACAATTTTACAAATAACCTTCATTTTTGTAAGAATGTATTTTAAAATAATTATTCATATGCAATTGTGTGTTCTTAAAATTTATGAAAAATAATTTTCTCTCTGAAAAAGAATCTATTTTATGTTATGAACAGTTATGCAATCTAAAAAAGTATAAGAATTGTTAATAAGGTACTGTTTCCTACCTCTTTGCAAAATGTTGCAGATATAAATAAATGTGTTTGTATGTGTACGTGTAAAACCTCTTCAGTGAGACAGTGAGATTTGGAAGAGAACTATACAAGCCCTGGAAAGAAACTCATTGCTTTAATTAAGCATAAATCTGGATTGGTGAAATGACATAGGGTGATTTCATATGAGACAATGAATATTTATTGTCATGTGGCATTATACATCCTCCCCAGGAGTCATTTCACAAATAAATAGCAGCCATGAAAATCTACATTCTGAATATGTGTGAATTATTTCAAAATAGCTGAAACTTTCCAAAGTTCATGTTGACGGATGGAATGATTCTACCCAAATACTTCAGGGATGTTAGGTTGCATCCATAAACCAACCCAGCCTTTCATCAGCAACTCCGTAGACAACCATTGTTAATGATGGGACAGCTACAGTCTGAGAGAATCATAATTGCTGAATACCTTTCAAAACAACACACCATGTTGCTTTCCCTGAGGCATTTATCATCCTTGTCAAATCCAAATTTGCTTACAATAGGTATAACTAGCACAGATGCTGGGAAAAGACATTTCTAAACCAAACCTGTCGCTGCATTCCAGGGACAATGACAGGTGCAAATCCCATTGTGAGCCTCATTGTTAAAATCAGATTAAGATGACAACCCTTATTAATTTATCTGACGGTAATACTTCTAATCCTACTGGGACAGTCTGCTAGGTATACATCTAAACGATTATATGTATAGTAAAGTGAGCATTGGAATATACTGTAATAGTTACATAGTGATGTTTAAAAATTTCTAGGCTTTCAGCATAGTCTTCGTGATCAGGATTCTTTAGCCTGTATATTACCACTAGAGTCGAACTAATTGAGGAAATATGCACAGCTTTTCTGAAAATAAAGTGAAGGATGAAGTTCCTGTTTGGAAATCACTACACAGATACATTAAATAAGACCAAGAGTATTTGTTGACCATTTTTTCTGCTGAATTGATATACCGACACTTTTCCATTTATAGCAAAGATTAGCCTAAATTTAAGCACCAGCAAATAGATTTTTAAGTAAATCTATTACTGATTTATTTAAACATACAATAGCTGAATTTCCCCGTTTTTTTCCCCTATAATAAGCTGCTTAGCTGCTCTTAAGTTTTTAATTAAACACAATAATAAATGTTCATTTCCTATTTGAAAACTCCTATCATACCTTCAAGGGATGCAGTGGCTCAGTGGCTAAGACACTAAGCTTGTTGATTGAAAGGTCAGCAGTTCAGCGGTTCGAATCCCTAGTGCCGTGTAATGGGGTGAGCTCCCGTTACTTGTCCCAGCTTCTGACAACCTAGCAGTTCGAAAGCACGTAAAAAATGCAAGTAGAAAAAAAGGGACCACCTTGGTGGGAAGGTAACAGTGTTCCATGCACCTCTGGCATTTAGTCATGCTGGCCACATGACCACGGAGACGTCTTCGGACAGCACTGGCTCTTTGGCTTTGAAACAAAGATAAGCACCACCCCTTAGAGTCAGGAACAACTAGCACATATGTGTGAGGGGAACCTTTACCTTTATCATACCTTCACTGAGACATCTATGATAATTGGTTTATCATATCCAATTCCTTTAAACTCTGCTCATAGGGTTGGTAGCCTTCATATAAACCTACTCACATTTATCACTGTCCTTTTGGAACTGTGGTATCCAGAACTAGAACCATATTTCAAAATAGAGTCTGTCCATGGTAGAATAGAAAAATTCCTTCCTACAATCTGCTATCCTAACACTTTCCATGATAGGACATGTCTTTTTAGTAGCTGCAGCTCATTGGTGGCTCATGTTTAACTGGTAATCAATAAGGGCACCCAAATCCTTTTTACACTGGAGAGAGAAAATCATATTTCCCAAGTCCTTTTACCATGCCTATTATTTTCCCTATCCAGATTCAGAACCTTACGTTTTAGTCCACTGCTCAAAACTGTCTAGATGTGCTGATGCTCCACTATAGAACTAGCCATATCTCTCCCATCTTTCTGCCATTGGCAGACTTATTAAGCATCCCCTCAGTCCTGTCATCCAAGTCATTGATAAAAAATTTGAAAAATACAAAGTCCAAAAAGGAGTCCTGTGGTACTTCGCTCAATATTTCCACACAAACTGGAGCTAAGCCATTAACAAGCACCCATTCACTGCAGTAATGTACCCTGTTGTGAGCTCATATACCTGTATTGTTACTTCATATGTTATAATTTCATTAAGGATACGTTCTTGATAAATTGTATTGAAAGTTGTGCTGAAGTCCAGGTACATAATATGCCTGGCTGACTCTCATTATATCAAACTGATAACTCTTAATAGAATAAGATAAAGTTAGGCTGGCATGGTTTATTTATGGCATATGTTGGCTTCTGTTAACTTGCTTATGCAAATGTTCACAACAAGCTTATGCTATTTAATAATCTTTAAAGAGTAGGAATGTAAAGCTGACAACTCTGTAGTTTCCTGGATCCTCCTTTTTTTCCTCTTCACAGTGACATTTGCTCTTTCCCTTTAGAGTAGGTTATAGTCTTGAAGTGTATCAGTGATGCCTATCGGATTCTATTTATGGTCCTAACTTGAGACTCTAGTTTTCCATTATTTCTCTGTGCATTGGTGTAGTAACATCTAAGAATTTGCATGGCATCACATAGTGTTATGTCTTCCTACAAAACTCTTTGAGTTATCATCCTAGCCTCACGTTTCTTCCTTTGTGTGCTGCTGTATGTGCTGCTGTATTAGCCCAAGTCCTTGGCAACTTATTCAGCTTTGGGGGTGTGCTTCTCCTTTGTTTAATACAAAGTGCATTGTGCTGAATCTTTTCTTCATTTTTTTGTTGCTCCTCAGGAATTAATTAGTCTGATGTTACAAGTAAATGTGGAAGAACGATATACAGCTGCTCAGATATTAAACCATCCTTGGGTATCAGTGAGTAAAATACTTTATTATATTACACATTTAAACAAAAATTTAAAAGCTCAACTAATACTAAACACTAATCACTTGACATAGATTAAGTTATGCCTCTATAGCAACTTACAGCCACTCTTTGTTTAGCAATTAGCTTACTTAGCCACCATTTGCAAATATAATAGTAATAAAATCATTTTCTGATTGATACATGTATTTAGAGCCAATGTTGATGCACTCACAATAAAAACTTTCAATGTGAAACTGTTTAAGGTCTGGTCAGTTTCAGGCAGCAGTGTAGCCTGCCAGAGGATTCTAATATACTAATTAAGGTCACAGAGTTGAGCTTGTTAACTTGTAGTTAGCTCTTTTTAGGAACCTGCTGTTTTTCAGGAAAAAATTGCTTCAGGAAGAGATTGTTTAAGCAATATGTCTGCCCTGTGAGAGGGGCGGTGTGGGGGGGGAAAGGTGAGGCACAGGACACTGTAGGAAAGAACTTTATCTGAATAAGATGGCAGCAACTAGTGACTCTTCCTCTCCTCCCTCCCTCTCTTTTTCATGTGTTTACCTAGCAACCATTTCACCTAATAACGAAGTCATTAGAGCAGAATGTGCTTACTTACACTGATCTGGCTATTTTTCTAATGGTTCAACAAACCCCCCTCCCCCATTTAATATCTTTGCTAATTATAGAAGAGGTAAAGAAAGTATAGAATTATAGAAGAGCTATAGATATAGAAGCTATAGAAGAGGTTGGGCGCACTTCTTTAAATAACTGAAAAAGACATTGCTCTTGAAAGTATGAAAAAAAATTAATGGCAAATATAAGCTTTTAGTTCAAAAGAAAGTGGGGAGGAGATCAGTAGCTGATCAGTAGTATTCTCCTGAACATGACTAGATGAAAAGAAAGAGATTCAGATAAAAATTTCCAAAATGTGTCCCTTTTTATGGTGTGTGTTCATTTATCATGGATTCTTCATCTGGATGTTTGTCTCTAAGCTAATTTTTTTATCGTTCCAATGCTGCTTTGTTGAATAACAGTGTTCTTTTTTTTAAAAAAAGGATGATGCCTCTCAAGAAAATAATATGCAAGCTGAAGTAACAGGTAAATTAAAGCAGCACTTTAACAACACACTTCCCAAACAGAATAACCAAAACGCAGGAGTGTCTATTATCATGGTAAGAAGTGCATCATTTCTACCAATTATTTTACTAATTTGATATTTCCAACTCTTTCCAGAAGAGATACAGTTTTAAAGTTATTTTTCATTACAAAGTAATAGTGCATATTTTATGGCTGTGTCAATGTCTCTTTGTGCAATCGATGCATTTTTAAGAAAATTTAAACATTTAACAAAACTGTTCTGTATGAGACATTCTGTTTAAAAATTGTGCAATTAAGCCAAAGTAAACAGTGCTACTCAAAGCACATAATTTACCATAATTCAGCCTAATCAGCTGTCCTTTAATTTTTACATTTACACTGGAAAAAAATTATCTCATGAAATATATTCTATTGGCAATAAAGTTCTTAAAGATGCTATTTATGTTAGCAGTCAGTTTTTATTTGCACCGAATCATTAAAATGCAGCACCAATAGGTATCTGGACTGCTAGACATACTGACCAAATTTAGGTTGAAGAAAACCAGGTTCTGGGGGATGGAGAAATAAATTTTAATTTTTCTATCATTTCTTGTTTAATTTTTTCTAACATGTACCAGCTTTAAAAGTAATGTTTTATTTTAGGATGAAATAGACTAATTTGAGGAGCAAAGAAAAATAATACAGGCTGATTGTTTTGCTTGCATTTTATTTGACAGTTTGACTTGACAGTCTGAGAGACTTCAAAACTCAATGTTTTGTATTTTTGAGACTTTGGATAATCCTGAAGCAAAACCTGGTATAAAATCCATTATTAAATAGAGTTATTTTAAAATGCTAACTCACAGCTGCTTGCAAATTTGCACATTCTTTAAGCTTGTTTCTAGTCATAAATATAATTCGGCTTCTGGCTTCTTTTTGATGTGAAGTTCTGGTTGTTGTTGTTTTTTTTTTCAAATTTCTAGCCTTCTAGCTTTGCTTCCAGGCAATGAAGCACACTTGTAATTGTAACTTCCATTTATCCTTCCTTATCTTCTCCCTGCTGGTAAAGACTATTATTCCAGGAACTAAATTACAGTATGTAAAATTGAGTTCTGAGCCAAAGTCTGTTAAACAATTTGAGACTTAGAAGAATCTGAATGCAGATAGTCCTTGACTTACGATCATAATTAAGCCCAGTTATTAAACTAATGACCGTGTGCTGGTGCCTGATTTTATGACCTTTTTTTGCCATGGTTGTGCCATGGTTGTTTAGTGAATCCATTTTCTCCATTAGGCGCTTTTGCTGGAAACTGGAAGTAAATGCTGGTTTCCAGCAAAAAATGTTGAAAATCGTAGTCCTGTGGTTGACTGATGCTGCAAATGATCAGAATGCAGTCCAATTGCTAAACACCCCAAATGTGATCATGTGACCTGGGGGGGGCAACAACTTTGAATCTGGGTCATAAGTAGCCCTGGGGAGATCTGCCATAACCTTAAACAGTTGCTAAGAATAGTGATAAGTCGAGAACTAACTGTTGTTTTAACTGTAGAAAGGAACACATTGTCTTTCAGCTTGAGGGTCACTCCATACATAGCTAAAAGTGGCTGGGAGTAGAACCCATTTTTGGAAGGATTTTGTTCAGGGGGAATGCCTTAACAACATCAAAACCCCATAGAATTTTGCCCTCAGCTGATTGATCATAAAAATAGATGGTGGTAGACTGTTTTGGCCTTTAGTCCACTCTTTTAAACCCTGAAATTCAGCCATTTTTTTAAAAAAATACAATATTTGGAGAACTAAAAAACAGAGTAATTATATCAAGATAAGTTGAATAAAATTGCAGGTTGAATTATATTGCTAGGTGTAGGTAAGTCAAATTGCTTCCTCCGTTTCTCATATGAAAGATACTTGTGTTCATTTTCCACCATGTAATCAGAAGAGGTGGGAGAATGCAGAGTGTCATGGGTGACTTTTCAGATTTATATACAAAAATGCTGGCAGATTATCATGGTATTTTAATCATCTGCTACGAATTGTAATTTCTGTGTAGAATATGTGTGTAGAAACAGTAAGATATGGTAGAATCCAAGGAATATATCCAAAGGAACTATTTTATCAACCACAGAAAAAAAATTAAAATGAAATTTATTTAGCCTAAGAGTACAGCACATACAATATAATAAAAACAAATTATCTCAATTTATCAAGTGAATACAGCTACATTTACAGCCATTCACATGATTGTCTTGAATAAAATTCATTTTTATTTCTGCTCAAAAATTGTACTCAAAAACATTGTTTAATAGAAGTAGAAAAAACACATTTTTAGAATGGCTTGCAATTTTCTTCTTTTTATTTTTATAAAGGTCATATAAGGAAGTTTTTAGTGCTGCTTTTTGAATATTGAAATGATTTATTTACATTTATAAATGTTGCAATGCTATTGGTTCTGCTTCCAGTAAGTCTAGTGTCTGTCCGTTGCTTCCTTCTTTTGCTTCTTCTCCCAATGCCTGCGCTGCTTTCCTCTGAATAGGTCCAAGGCAATGGTATGTACTAATTACAGTGCTTCTTTGCCACAATTAAAAAAAAGATTCTTGGTTTGAAAGAAAAGGAGAAGTAACCTTGTAACAATCTTGGACAGAAAAGTGTGTCAAGTGATGCAGTACAATCATGCAACAAGTTTTCTTTGCATTGATATATTTGCACCATTCAACCATTTCAATATTGCTGCATGATGTTTTCTATTTTTACAGATTTTAAAGCCAAATAACCCAAAAACCTTGGGCTTTCCCTCTTTCTTTCTTTTTCTTCTTTTTCCTTCCTTCCTCCTCCTCCTCCTTGAGAGCTTTTCCCTGGCTAATTATGATAATCACTTTCTATTAGAATGATCATCATATTCTCATGGATTTGCATTTCTGTAATCATATTCCTAAAGCAGCCAGCAACTGACCACAAGCTCAATCTGACTGATCAAAACAATTGATAGAATATTCACACCTTTGGTCTGCAATCTTCTCAATCATTGGCCACAATCATTATTTTACACAACATCTTTGGTGCCAATTTTAAAGAAAAAAAGAGTAATACCTTTATGTTTAGACATTATTTATCAGTTAACTCACAAAATATTTTATTTTTTATATTTTTAAAATCTGGAGATTAGTGAGAAAGTTATGGGTGCTGCATTGCTTAGCTTAATGTATATTACCTGAGCAGTGTTTGAATTTTTAATATTTCCCACATTGTAGTTCTGGAACTGCTCACACAAAAAGTGTATCATGAAAAAAATATTCTGAATATGTAATTATGACCAGCCAAATGCTCTTTTGTCCATCTGAAATAAAGCCTAAAATCTTACATCTGCCATGAAAGTTATTACTAGTGAACCATTATGAAGTAACATTTTTTGTAAAAGCTTAGTTTGGTTTGTTGCCATGTGCTCGCTTCAGTCACATGCTCATTTAATGTTAAAAAAATAAATTCATATTAGGGGTTTATAACTCAAATTATAAAACTAGTTACAGTCTATTCTTAGATTTTTATTTTTCAAAAAATATCAAACACAGTTGAGAAACAATTGAGAAACAAAAATCAGAGTAATAACATGAACATTATATTATTTGAAGAACCTATAATGGGGTTGTTTAAATTTTATGATAGAAAAATCGTATCTTATCTTTCACTTCACCTTTTCCCAAACAGATAAATATCCATATTTTAACATTTATCCAATCATGCTGTCCACACCTGCAACCTTACCTTTTCTATTCATTTATATAATAACTTACTTTTCTTGGGAAAAAAATAAACTATTTATAGCATACTTCTGAAGGCTTTCTGTTTAATCCTTTTCACTTATTTCCAAAGTAGTTTTTTTCTTTCTTTTGAAATTGTTCTGGTTTTTATGTTATTAGTCTAACCATAATCTTTTATTTCTTTCTGTATGTACACATTATATAACACAATCATTATATGACAATGAAATTTCATTTTTCAGCAATTGTTCTCTTGTATGCATTTGCTTTTCATCCTTTTGCATCCTCTTGCATGTCATTTTTCCACCAAGTAACTTTTTTCATGTTCCCATTGCCTTATTGTACACTTTTCAGTGGTAGTCCTAATTCTTGCACTATTGAAAGTAAAATCCATGTCCCCTGTCCCATGTCAATTCTCGATTCATTCTGTGGAAATTCACATAGCTTGTGCCTATGAAGGTAGCAAATAATGGCCTGTCCCACATCCTGAATTTCTCATCTGGGGTATATCCTTCATTGATTCTCAGTCTTTCCTCATAATCACATTAATCATGCTTTTAAATTTATATTCATTCCTCTGCCACATGGATAAACATACAAGTGAATTATGTTTTTGGAACAGACTATTTAATAAGCATGTACTCCAAGTCTCAATTCTCATTCATTCTTGGATATCCAAATAGCCAAGTCACTTTTTATTTTATATCCATCTGTCTGTTCATGTCACCAAAGAGAGTTTGTTTTAGTTCCACAAATGCATAACTTTTTTTTTCATTTATTCGTTTTATGGATAAATTTTCCATTTAACAGTGTTATAAGTGACAATGTTCTAAATACCTGTCTCTTTAAATTCACCTTGACATCTGGTGATTATATGGCCAAATCCATGCCTTTTTGGGAGATTTATTCATATCATATCATATCATATCGTATCATAAATTCATTCAATTTCTGAAGCTACCCAACTCAATCATGTGACTCTAGGTGGCTTGCAAGTCTAAAATTATGAAACAATTAAAATAATTTTTTTAAAAAACACAATAATTTAAAAAACACCCACAAAATAAATAAGTAGAAACAGCCATGATAGTTAGCCAAGTAATAGGACCCTTCACACATTCCGAGCCCCAGGCCCAGATACATAGCCAAATTTTTAAAGCTTTGTGAAAAGCCAACAGGGTTTGGGCATTCTATTAGATATTTTTAATTGTTAATTGATTTAAGTTGGGGTGTTTTAAATTTATTGGGCCAAAATTTGTTTAATTCTTTTTATAAAAAAATTTAAATTTTGTATGCGATGCTTTTAGTCTTGGCTGTTCACTGCCCTGAGTCCAGTGGGAGAAGGGCGGTATAAAAATCTAATAAAATAAATAAATAATCTCTGAAAGGAGAATATTCCATAAGGAAGAGTCTGCAGCAGAAAAAAACCCCTGTCTTCTAGTTTCCGCTAGTCATCATTCTTTGGCTGATGGGATCTGCAACATGCCCAATCTGGGCTTGCAATTCTTCTTATTAATGCTGTGCATGTGAGAAACCACTTTCCAAACAATCCACAACCTCACACCTTTGAAAAAGATCTTAGAAGTTACTTTTCCTTTTCTTCAGACTTTGCATGTATCATTTTTAAAAATACTATTATATGTACATATAACACTTGTCAGTGATGTGATTTACCTTTTTCTAAAAAATTATATTTTAGAACACAGCTCTAGATAAAGAAAATCAGATATTTTGCAACAAGCGCTATCAAATCCCAGGTCAAGCTGATATGAAGTAAATCACCAAGATAAGTCCTGCTCCTCAGCCTTCTACAACTGATCACAAGTTGACTTCTCCTGCTGCTTCTCAGCTACTCAGACTCTCTTCCTACCTTGAATCAGCATGCCATGAGCCTGCAGGATTAATTTAAAGAGAAGTTCTAATGAAATCCAGAGCTAGGTCAGCTACTGTTCTCTTAAACTTGCTACTTTATTTTTTTTCATGTCTAAAAGGGATGCAGGTTGTATGTACAGTAGATTTTAGTACTCTACCTATTACATTTGAGAATTCTTATGCTTTTAAATGAATTTGTGTTCAGTATAATTTCAATCATACAAATGAATTTATCTTCTCATACTTGGATATACAAACTTTAAATAGGTATAACTATTAAGAAGCCTCACCCAACAAAGTCTAGATTTTCTAAAAGAAATGCTAGACAAAAAAAGTAGCGGAACTCATTTCTTTAATTTAAAAATGCAGGTCTAAAATGGTCCTGGAGAGAAGCAAGATTATTTCCAGTGGCAATTTGTACAATATTGAAAGTCAAGTTGTAGAGGTTTGAATAATGGTGTGAATGGATAACACACTTATTTTTGACATTAAACTTTTTGATTAAGTACCATCAAGTTGGTGTTGAATCTAAGTGATCACATAGATAAGAAACATAAATTTAAATCTTGTGGAATTTAATATAGACTAACTCAATCATTGACAATCATTTTGCAACCAACCCCATTTATGAATGAGTGTGTTTTGAAGATTGCAGTTAGTAAAGATTTCTCTGCACAGGTTGTTTCCTGCTTCTCTTTTCCTGAATGACCAGTTGTTTTTTTCTTGGAACAGAAAGCTTGCTGCATGGTGCATTATCTAAAAAAAGAGCAGTATATTTATAGCAAGCTAGTGTAATAAATGAACTACTAGTCACCAACACAGAATGCTGTCAGCATTATATTTTTTTTAATTAGCCCACTCTTAAAGAAAGTCATCAAATGTTTGGGAAACTATAATGCTAAATGTGCAGTGAAGGGTAGATGGAGTTGTATATTAATGCTTGTTTCAATATTGTATGTTCTCTGCTTGTTTTCTTTTTTATTTCTAACAATTTTAAATCATTTTCTATTAGCTCTTTACATTAGAACTAAGAACTGCAATAAACATTTTTCTTCAAAAGAGTAAGTAGTAATTTTTTTTGAGAACTTATAAAGCAAATCCAGGATATGTAATTATCTTTATTCCCTTCTGAGTACACATTATGTTCTCAAATTTGATAACATAATTTTATTTAATAGGATCAGGCTGATATTTTCTTTTTATGTTTCAGGTGTATATTATTACAATAGAAACCATTCTACTGAGTATAGTTATACAATTGTGTCATTCAGTTATTTCCAGATATTATTTTGTTTTACACTTGATTGTCTTCACCTTAACATTTGCTTATATGTTTAAATCAGAATGCCTGCTAAAAGATTTTATTTATTTTAGGTATGATAGCATACTTAATATAGTCTTAATTTTGCTGTGGCCACTTTTAGTGCAAATTAAAGATATTAATTCCCTTCCCTAATGTAACTTAATGTATAAAAATTGGCCTGCAAAATTATCAGAAATTAACACACATTAACCAAGTCTAATGTGAAAATAATTGTTAAGCATAATTTTTAAAAAATCTGGACTTTCTTTGTGCAGTATTTCAGGTGTCCTGTTTGCTTCTATAAATAGTATGCATACTCTTTTAAAACTTTCTATAAAGATTTATGCAGAGCTACATAAAAGTTATTAAAAGAAAAAAATCAATTCAAGCAATATATATTTCAAATATTTCAGGTCCAAATATTTAAATATTACATTTTAAAAGAAACAATTTTTGCATCTCCATGAGTCTCGTATGAAGTTCCCCTCTTAGCTTCCAAGTTTGAAGTATTAGTCATATAATGATTTCTTCCATTATTAAATACATATAAGTATTTTAAGAGATGTATAAGTATCCTGTTTTGCTGATGCTATATTTCAGCAAGTATAATAGATCCTAAATTACTTTCCCAAATTATGCTTTCTGAAATTTCCATGTTATCCCCTTCCTTTTCTTCTCCTCTTCCCTTCTTATTTTACCCAGTTAGATTATTTATTCAGATCAGTATTGTTTTTGCCTACTAATACTGGCTCTTGTTCTTATCTGTAATAAAGAAAAAAGAACTACCTCTTTTATATTCTTGACTTAACAGCCCCTATGAAATCAGTATTATTCAACATTATTGATTTCAAACTGTGGGAAATGGGGAACAATTTCAGTGTTGGATTGTGGCAATGTTCCCACTAACCCTGTGTACTACCTTTGTCAAATTCAACTTCAGTCTTCAGTCTAATCAATTCAGACTGCAATCCTGAAACTTCAGACTTAAGTACTCAGTTTTCAGTCAACATAAACAAAATCAGGAACATATTGTGCCTGTGCTTCAGGAGCTTAGTTTTGAATAGTCTGAGATTAATCAGTAAACTGTACACAGTGTAACCTATATGAATGGCACTATATTAGCATAATTTAATGCCTATAATTTCTTTAGTAAAAGGTAAAAGATTTATATGACCTGAAGAGAAAACAATGCCTATGATTTCTAGCTTTTAATTTATTTCTAGCATCATACTAATGTTTAATATGTAGTGACAAATTTAGTTTTAATTTAGTTTTTTTTCTCTGTCTTAGGGGTTCCAATTGTTTAAAATTTGGTGGTCTATATCCAGTATACTTAGAAGCCAATATTCAAATAGTTAAAGCCCTTTCCCCATTCTACTAGGACTATAAATATCTATATTCTAATTGCTTTACATAAAAAAGATTTTTTAAAAAACTTTCATCAGCTCACTGGCCATGTGGCCAACTATTAAAGATGATGGAGTGTTCCTGGTGAAAAACCATCCAGCATCTCATGCATTAGCCATTCTTTTCTGGTACAACTAAAATGAAAAAAACATTACTGGGTTTGTAATCTGTGAATATATTTTGGCATCCGAAAGATTGCAGTGGCACAAGAAATTGTCCAATAAAACTCTCCCGCCTCAAATCAAAAGCACATCCCGTTCAAGAAACAAACAAAAGGAAAGCAATGATACGTCTGTTCTAAGCACAAGGAAAACCAAAGAACAGACATACCACATCAAGCCCTTCATGAAACACATATAGCATACGTCACTCCTTAGGGAAGGTCTTTCATTAGCAGCTGTAGCTAGACAGTTGACTGGACTTTTAGTAGAATGCATAGAAGAATAGGGGCTTGAATCTTCTTCCTGTCCTATCAAATCTAAACAGTGCCTTGGTTTCACACAGAGCACAAAAAGAAATGAAGAACAATTTAAGTTTGATATGTGACTGCAGATATTAGAATGTCAGTTTGACTTCAAAATGAGAAGGAAGGAGGAGTTTACAAGCAAGAGTTACTTTTTGTTCTTGATTTGGTGATTAATCTTTAGACATTTCCTATATCAATGGAAGACAGTGCTTTTTAAAATAATAATAATATAACATTGTAGTGCAACTGTGCTCAGGGTTTTTAAACTGTCATGTCTCTCAATATAAGCACAGCCAGTTTTCTGGTTTGGTCAACTATTATCTGAATATATTCAATAAAACCTTTGTTGGCTTGGGAGAGGACTATCTTTGCAAAGTTCAAGGCTACACCCATCATCCATTACACATATAGGAGCTAAATTTGTAGATGGTGTTAGGTCTGTGCTAACAAAAGTGTAGCAATAAATATACATTTGGCATTTGCTGTGTTCTCTGAAAATGTTTGGTACATGTAGCAGTAACTATAACCAAAATTTCCTATTTAAAAGACAAAATTTACAATCATTTTGTTTTCAGAGTTCTGCATTGTTTCTTATTAGCAAGTTATGTTCCTGTTGTAATAAATGAAACATTAAAATACAAATGCCTTTTTTATTTAATATCTTGTTTCAAACTGAGTTTCCCCCTTTCTGATGCTCATATAAAGAAGGGCTATTTGAATATTAAGGGAAAAAACATACAAATTGCTTCAAATAATTAGTTGAAGAAATTATATACCGACAAAGACAGAGAAATGTAAATTTCAAATCTTAAACCACAACTTATCAAGAAATAATTTTTGCAGTACATACTAAAAACAATACTTTTCACATATATAATCACAGAATTTTGCACAGCAATCATATATTAAGTAGAATTTATGCAACATCAAAATAATATTGTTCATAATAAATTTTATTTAGTTTCCCAAGAGCTTGAAGAGAGATGGTCAGCATGATTGAATCAGATTTGATGGAAACATGTCTTGATTTTAAGATCAATATAAGGCTTGTGCAATACAGTTCTCTAGTTGTGTTGTAGGCACACAATAGTTTTTTCCATTTTAGGTGCTGAAGGAAAATAGCAGATCTCAAGCACAAGTGTTCTTGTTTTTTGTTTTGATCCACACATGGTTTCAAAAAGTACAGAAGATAATAGAATACTTCCAAAATCCTCAAAATAAATCTTAATTTGGAAGAACAGTGGGCCTGATGAAAGGATAGGAAAAATATGCTTGATGTATAAATTCTGCTTATGATTATTTCTCTCTTAACCATACAACAAAATAACAAATTAATAATTTAAAAGGTATACTAATTACCTAGATCTAGAATCACACTTGATCATTACACAGATGTAAAAACAAAATCATATAATTTAAATATTCTTGATTTTCAGAAAATTCAGTGCTTCAAGTTTGCTATTACTGTAAAAGTACAAGACAAAAGGGAAGAGAGGGATAAGCACAGTTTAAAATGTCAGTATTGTAACTGCTGGTAGTATAACCAACTTCCTTTGTTATAACAATTTCCATTGTTAAAATCAAATATTCCATAAGATTATAAAGATTTACATGAGAAACATGTTTCATAATATAGCTAATACAAGAATTATAGCCACCCTATTACAGTCTCCCCCCCCAGTATAATGATCAAAATAGATTTACTATGACTAAAAAATATAGATTTTTTTATAAGCTACAGAACCCCAACAATCATCTTATGTTTTTTCCCCATCCCAAAAAGTCAAGCAAAGTCTACAAAAATAGCAATTAACTTCAAAAAATAGCATCTCCCAGCAAATTTAAGTTACATTCAGATATATTAACTATTTATAAGATCTAGAATATGACAAGATACTAAAGAGAGATGTGTATGTTTCAAGTCTCCATATGAGAAGAGCTGCACGGCCACATCAGTTTAATTCATATTTCAGTATCTGGTTTGGTATTCATGATGCCACCTGTTGAAATCATTGTAGAAAACCACTATGCTGCCAGAAGCCATGCCTGTCATTATACACCTGTGAAGGAAAAATATGCAGAAAAGGGACAAGATCATTTTGCTGATGTAGCACTTAAATATACATAGCTTTATGAACATTAAGTTAAACCACAAACAAAGTTGTGTTGGAAAACTCAATAGTTTTAAGATCTAATGTTTCTTCTCATTCCATCAGTGACATATTTTTTAGTGCAAAAAAGGTGCCCAAGTTTGGACTAGTTTAACTAGTGTGGTCCAAAACGTTCAATTAATCTAGCAAATCCAGTTGCGAGGCAAAGAATGGGATTTAATACAGCATAGAATCCTGTTATTCTGAAATCTTTCCATTCCTCCCCCCCACTCCAATTTTGGCTAATTTGAAGTAGGAATTTGTTCACCAGTGGATAAGAATCATAAAATAAATATGTAGTTTTTAATCATTGATTTGTGCATGCTAACTGAAAAAAACCTTATATGAAGTGTATAATTTTCAGAAAATTCAGTGCTTCAAATTCCGTTATCAGTATAAAAATACAAAAGAAAAGGCGGGGGAAATTAACATCCAAATCACTCTCACCTTTGGTCATATGAAAGAGTCATGGATCGGATTCCAGCATCACAACCAGGATAGGCAAAAAGCTGCTTGAGATCATACACTTGCCATACCATAACAACTCCATTGTCTCCTCCTGTGAGGAGATACTGCCCATCACGGCTCAGTTGGATTGCCTAGGACAAGGAAAGTGACTTGGAATAATGAAACAATTTTCACATTAACTTTTTATTCCTCAATTGCTATTACTTAATTATCATGTCATAAAACCAGGTTACTTTTTACGAAGGTGGGATCTATAGAAAAGAGA